GGATTGGATGAGTTTTACATACCTGCAGCTGGTAACAAAAGAACCAATACAATTTAAGACATTGGTCTGATGCCAACGTAAGAAGAGACACTTGTTTTAAAATCAAAAATAGCTCTTGAAAGAAATGGACCTCAGAAATAGATCCTGAGAAGAACAGTCAGACACAGAAGGAATTTCCTTCGAAAGAAAGGCCATCACTATTTCCATTCAACAATGGGTTTACCTGTGATTGTAAAGAAGGGAACTTTTGTTTGACACTTCTGCATGGGGAATAGTTGTCCCCCCCCCGCTTTTTTATTTTTCATTTGGATGTCTTCAAATACCCAGCCTGAGCTCAGCAAGTCACCTGTATCAGAAATTAGATTTAGACAGACAGCCTGAGGTCAGTTTAAGGTTTCTTGATTTTGATTTCCTAATTGTAGAAGGATGTAATTTGAGATACCGCTTTATCGGTGGGAAAGCATTTCCCATCATCTCTGTAGTTTCCATCCTTGTGTGGATCATTTCTCTCTTTTAATTCCATGGCTGGTCTGATCAAAAAACCATCCTCATTCATTCTATAGTCTTTTATGGCTTTCTCCCTTCGCAGCTTCCGGAGACGTGGCAGCTGACGCAGCTCCTCTGGCAGCTCCATGCAAGTGGCCTGATAAGGAAAAAAAAAAAAGAAAAGAAACAGAAAAGAAATCAAATCAATACATATGCATACACATGCTCTACTTTTGCTAGTACCAGATAAGAGCTCCCTCTGTAATTAGCCAATGGAACAGAACAATCATCTCTTGTTAGATCTGTGGAATGTATCAACCACCTGCTTACACAAACAATGCCTTAGGCCCACTCCCCCCTATACTTTTAAAGGGAAAAATATTAGGCTTGCATTTATTATTTACTACTTTATTATTAAGACGTTGAAGATTAGGTAATACTTCACATATGGGATTTAGATCTCTCCTGAGAAACCTTTTGCACTACAAAGTTGTTGTAAACCCCCAAAAGAAGCATAACCAGTTTGTGTTTGCTTGTAGGAGCCACTGCAAAGGCAGCTTTCCTGGTTTTTCATTTAAAACCATGGTATTCTATCTACATAAAAAGGAAAACCTTAAGGTGAAAAAAGCCAACATAGCTAACAAATCAATGGTACAGCTGCTTAGGAAGTACACAAAAGGAGATACACTCCTTGATTTAGTGCTGAGCAGTGCATGGGACACTGCTCAACATACTACATTCAAGGATCTGCTCCTTAGGAAAAACTACAAAAGTTCACCAACTTTGTAGGAACAACAACAACAAAAAAATCCACAGTTGCATTCAGCTGTAGAAAGGGGAATTACAGAGATAAGGAAGCTTGATAAAAAGTAGTAAAGAGGCAACCGAGCAAATTCAGTCCTAGCAGGTAGCGTGGAGACAGCTTCAAGACAACATAGGAGCAGCATAGAATAACCATTACCTAACAGCAAAAAGATCACAGAATGAGTGAAAGGAAACCAGCACGACTACAGGTTAGTGGAATGGAGACTATGAAGTAAGCACCCCTTCAGGAAAGCAAAGCCGCATCCAGGTGAAGAAAATGGTCAGGATGAAGTTACAGAAAAAAACCAAAGGGCAGGCCATAATAATGTTAGTAATAGGAGCACAATACACCAAGCATGCTGCAGGGCCAAGTGATGATCAGAATACAAAAGCAGCAGGGTAACAAACATTTTTTTCTCATCTACATTTGTCATAAAAAAAAAAAAGCATGGAGGTTCTCAAACCAAAACCATTCATTTCCTACAGTGAGAGGTTGTCCACACTCTAAACCACTTCAAGCCAAGCTGCACAAAAATTCAGGCTGCATATTCATAATGATCAATATGCATTGTGTGCAGTCCCAATTCACCTGCCAATTAGGAAAACTTCTGGCTCAGGCATGCAATTATATTTAGACAGGGAACGGAGTTCATGCCACCATGTCATGAACATGTTATATGGCATTATATGCTGTGCTGCACCTCATCTACTGCAGCTTTACCTTAAGTGCGTTGGGAAGTCAACTCTGCTGCAACTCCCCTGTGGTACCAGAGCTCTGCTTGGGGCTTGTCACCGCTTAAACACTGCTCTTCTAGGAGAACATTTGCTCCTTTACACTGCTGGGTTCCCAGGCTGCATTTGCTTCTTCAAATCTAACTCCTCAACATCAGAATGGAGCTGCATTTCCAAGTATCTAACACCACACGATATAAATCTACAAGAAATGTAGCACATAAAGCTCCTTTCTAGCTCTTTCCTAGTGAGAGAGCTGCAGAGGCTCAGAAAGCCATCTTATTCCATGTCTGCATCCAGAGGAAGAACAATTACTCCTGGCAGACACTTATGCTGAAAATGCAGGAAACTGCAGAGACCTTCAGGGTGGGAAGTTTGTGTTGGGCAGTAAGGAAGATTATCCGTTTGAGAACGACGCCGAAGGAGGAAGCTGAGGGTTTTGCTAATGAAGTGCTGAGGATCAGAGGTTACTGTTTCACACCTGGTTTGTGGATAAAAAGTCAGTTGCTTAGGAGGGAGTGCCCACTGTTCAGAAGACTCAACTACTACGTGCAGGTAATGACACAAGAAACCACAGAAAGTGTCAACATACATTTCCAAAACTGTTAGGGTCAATAAGATGCTTTTTTATTTCCCTTCTTTTTCTCATTTTTTTCTCCATTTTCCTCTTCATTCTCTTCTCCCAGTACTACATCAAAAGTATCATTAGCATTTAATTTTTTCATTTTCATTTTTGCCTGCTGTGGACCACTGGCAATACTTTACTGTTGTTAGCAGCTGCTAGGATGCACGACACCCATCTTTTCCACAACTCTTTCCTGAAGGAAGCTCTAATCCATGGAGTTCCATCATCCCATGTTGACAGCATGTCTCCTACCTGGTGTACCACCTAATTATACCTTCTGTTAACTGCTGAAACAACTGTCAAATGACAAAAGAATGCGTTTGCCTGTCCAAAAGCAAGGTGGACATCTTGCCGGGAGGGCTGCCTACAAGGGCTCTGTTTCTTTGCGATTTCCAGCAAAACATCTGAAAGATCAAGGGGAAGCAAAGATGGCTGAAACCTCAGGTGAAACCAGGACTACCACCAGTGACTGCTGGAATTGCTCACAAGAATTACAACATCCAAGTCAAAGATTCAAACACATCATTTGCATAAAATACATAACCGCTGTTTGCTCTGCTCTTACCAGTTTATTGCTGTGAAAGCAATAAACCAGCATTCATGTCCATTTCTGAGGTTATCCGTGGCCTCTAACAACCTAGGACTTTGTTCCCATCAAATTATTTATGAAAACTTGTCTTAAGGGAAAGTACAAGCTTCTTTTGAAATACGCTGGAACAAAACCAAACCCCCACCAGTCATTGACCTTCAAGAAACAAGGCAAGCTTGGACACGGGTACATGTGATTATGCATATTCCTTGCTGCTATTTCCAAGAGGAGAAAAAACAGTCTGGTCCAGATCTGCTCCCAGAGACTGAACCCCCTGATTCAACAAGAGGAGAAAGCAAGAACTGCCCCAGTGGTCATTGTTTATATTCATATTATAAGTAATTTCTCAGCATTATTCAATTCACAGGCTCTCTCGGACTGGAAAGCTGAAGCATCTTTTTCACTAAGTATATCCTGATACTGTTATTACACACAAAAGCCATTGGAATTGTAAACTGGATGTGGCAGTGACCCAGGAAGCATTAGGATCATGCTAGTCCAAGCTGAAGTTCAATGTTGTAAACCTTGATCCAGGAGCTGAGATTCACCACGTGACAGCTGGAGATGGGAAGGAATGTGGCTACGTATTCCATCCAGCTTCAGTAATTCATTTTTAATGAAGCCTCAGGATTGAAACTTTCTCTGTGTCTGTGTACTTGTTTTGCAAGTATAGTTTCCATGGGAGTGTCCTACATTTGGGGAAATGGGAGAAGGAAAAAAAAAAAAAGCATTCTTCTGTGTGAAATGATGGCACTCAATAAGATCAGAGGAGACAAGAGCAGGCCAGGGAAGCACATCTCTGTTCACTCCTCAGGTACACCCATACTCAAACACCTTTGTAGCCAGAGGCACAACAGAAGGCACACCTACAAAACTTAACTTCTCCTTTGTCAAAAGGCTGAAGTCCTGGTGGTTCTGTTCAGACAGCACAAGCCAAGAACTAAAACAGAACCGAGAAGGGCCCAGAAAAGGCTTCCTTACCTGGAGTGACAGAAGTGAGTCAATTTCCAGATCTAGTCATCATCTCCAAGTGCCTGTAAGTCAAAGAGGCCATGGCAACTTGGAGACTCTCTTGCCTAGTGGCTTTCAAGTAAAGGCTTGATGTACCACAGATTGTTTCTGTTCACTCAGCAATTACATCCACTTTCCAACTTATAGCACAAGATACCTTCACGGCCTTGAAGCATTTATTGTCTCCAACTCTGCTGCAGTCCTGCTTCAGCAAGAGAGGCCTCTCTTCCAGTTCTCCAGCATGGAGAGAGCATAGTAGATATATTTCAGGTTTCCAAAGTGTTTCCAAACTGCACCAGATCATGTCTGGAGAACAGTCATTGAGAACAAAGTTTCCAGCAACTCCATAATGATGTCAAGCTGCTTGTACCAGACTGCTGTTCACCAAGGGTCCAAGGTGGAGCAACAAGTGTACATTGTAACCAGTCAGTGTAAAAAGTCAAATAGTCAGTAAAAGCATTTTCCAAGTAACTTTCAACTGTAGCTCCACCAAGTGCACGGAAGGTGTAACACAGACCTTAGCAATGGATAAACTTTACTTCCAAATATCCATGAAAAAGCACTAGAATAAATAAGGAGGGATGTGGCATGTGTAAGTCTCTTGACTCTTACTTCATCCTGAGAATCAGATCTGAATAAAGGCTTTTTGATTCAGGGAATTAATACAGACTTAGCCAGAAAAAAAACAAGAAGTTGTGCAAAGCTTTTCTTTTTCTCTCTTTTTTTTTTTTAAACAGATTCAGCTGATCAACTTGCAAAGGAGTCCCTTAATTTTGCTTACTGAGTGAAAAAACTGAAGTAACAGGCCAGCTTTAACAAAACCAAACTCCATATTTGTAGTTCAAATATGTATTGCAAGCAGATTTTAAATACAGTAGAAGAAACTTTCACTCGTGTGATCTCGCAAGATATAGAAACATCAGAAAATGATTAACAGTGAAATGATGGTGAAAAAAGTCTACTTTTACTATCCACACTACAATATTTGTAAAGCAACTGCAAGAACTATGATTATCAGATGTAATATTCAATAGATCTTCAAAATGCCATTTGAAATGCTCAGGATCAGATTAATCTTATGGGATAAATGTATTTACAAAAGGATTGACTTCAGCAATCTAAGTACCACTTAAAAAAAAATCTATAACCAAACAACCCAATACAAAACAGAATTTGTACTCTTTTCATTTCAACAGACTGTTCTTTTTCCCTTGTGTCATGCCTATTTGTGCATGCATTTCACATTGGAAATTACTATGTCAAGCTATTATTTTTTTTCCATGAACTATGCACAGCCTTATTTTTCTGGCAGATCTCTAAAACGAAAAGATTTTCAGATATGACCTCTTCTCTCTGTGAAGCAACTATGACCTCTTGTGGTTATCTAACTAATCTCTGAAATCCTCAATAATGGCATTTACTGCTCTGAGCCCTTGAGTAATTCCCAAAGGATTCAAGTGTGTGCTTGAGTGCTTTGTTAAGCCAGGGCAAAAAAAAAAAAAAGACAATTTCTTCCGTCAAGATAGAGTTGCATTCTCTTTTCCCCATACATATTTCAAGACATTTACAACTGCAAAAATGAGGCAGTAACAGGATTTAATCATGTTATGTTAGTTCAGTGTCTTTGTGATGAATGTAGATGTTTGACCATTCACTTTTCACCCGAATTTAGTACCAGCAATATCCTACGGAGTTGCTGTAAGTCCTCCTAAGATTACTTCACTGAGAAGACAAAAATACCACATCAATACCACTGCTTGTTTGGTTTCCATGGACCTGTTCCTTCCATTAGTGCAGGAAGTCAAGTTCCTGAGTCAATCTCATTTCCCCACACACTTTAAAAATTAAAAAGCAGTTACAGAAGTAGCCACCACACAAGTGCCACTCCAGGGTACCTGGGCATGCAATACTAACCGTTCTATGTAACTGAAAATGAAAAATGTTACTTACTAGATTTTTTTTTTTTTGATAACACAAGTGAGAATGAGAACAAATTAGGAAGATAACTCAGAGATGCTTTTACAGAAATAAAAATCTTTGGCCAACAAGAGACATTATTTCTCTGAAACAAGCCAGAATATGCAAAACAGCTCAGCAGTAAAGATGACAGAATAGGAGAAAAATAGAACAAGATTCGGCGACTAAATGCTCTTATCAAAACAAAGCAACTCTGGCAGCTCCAGATACCAACACTTCACAATTGCCTGCCCCTCTTCATGTCCTCACACATACACAGCCCCTGCTGAGCCCAGAGGTTCTCAGTCTCAGATAAGGGTGAACAGGAGGCACCCGTGCCTGTGCTCATGCCTTAACAGCTGCAGCTCACCACCCACAGCACTAACTTCAGGTGGATTTGTGCCAAGGGACTAACACAAAACACAGATAGGGAGATACAGACACCATCACTTCTGCTGCTGCACACAGGAAACAAGGTATGTGGCATAAAGTAGGGTAGGGAGTGGCAGAAAAGGAAGCTACTGTAGCCAGGTCCCCCAGACTTTATCCATCAGAGCCTTAGATCAAATCATTAACCAGAGAAACAAGCAAAGACATACTTACATTTGTCCTCTCAAGGTGATGCCCAAATGCAGTCCTATAAGCATTTAAATAACCACGTACTACAGCTGTTAGGTCAGACATCAAGTTATCCATTAGAGTTGAGTGGAGCAGCAGAAGGTACCTCGCCTTCAGAGCAAACGCTTTAAGCAGAGAAGCTGGAAAGGGCCTCAAGAACCATATGTCAGGATTCTCCTGTGTATCCCAAAGTAAATGAAAACAGTTACTTAAGTAGCAAAAATCATAACAAAGCTTTTCATCACATTTCTCTGCAGTGTACAACATGAACACTGTGTGCAGTTCTAAGTACCACCACAACTTAAGAAGGATGTGAAGGTTCTCAAATGCATCCAGAGGAATGCAACAAAGCTGGTGAAAGGGCTGGAATAAATGTCCTATGACAGTGGTTAAGGACTCTGGGCTTGTCTAGTTTGGAGAAAAAGAGGCTAAGGGGTGACCTCGCTGCTCTCTACAGCTCCCTGAGGAGGGGGAGAGGGAGGTGCTGAGCTCTTCTCCCTGGTATCAGTGATGGGAATGGTTCAGAGCTGCACCAGGGGAGGTTTAGACTGGACCTTTGGAAGCACTTCTTTACTGAGAGGTTGGTCAAACATTGGAGCAGGCATCCTAGAGAGGTGGTTGCTGCCCCAAGGCTGTCAGTATTTAAGAGGCATTTGGACAACGCCCTTAATAACATGCTTTAGCTTGGTCAGCCCTGAATTGGTCCAGCAGTTGGACTAGGTGACTGTTGTAGGTCCCTTCCAACTGAAATAGTCTATTCTAGTCTATTTATCAAGCTTATGTTTCCCAAATCTTAGGAGCTCCCAGCCCATTAAGTTTTCCCTTGCTTGTCCCCCTCTGAAAGATTAACAAAACCAAGGACAATACAGAATAATGATTTGGCAAATGCTACTGAACGGCACAAGCAAGAAAAAAATTGCTGCTCTCATTTCTTCATTCTAATAGTGCTGGCAATAAAAGCTTCCTCTTTCCCTACTTGACCCAGGATTCATTTTAATCAACTTGTTCTGTTGAAACTAGATTTCAGCATTAGTCAAGCGTATCAAGATATCCAGAACACTTTTTTACCCGAGTTTTATATATATCATCTATTGTACAAGCTTTGTGGTTCTTCAAAACCTCAATTTCAAATAAGCTGTTAAGAAATACCAGCATAAGCGCCATCGCCAAATAAAGCTAGCTTCTGTCTCCCAAGCCAGTGTTACAAAATGTCTTTACAGCAATCTGAGCACTGCATAGTGCCATGCTCTTAAAAAAACTGACAGAAACATCTCAATATGGGCAAAGGACAGCTCACAATTGAGTCTTCAGAAGGTGCCTCACTGAATCACTCACTGAAGCCATGTACTGCCCGCACTTCATGATGGCGTCCCATTTGGAAGGTATCTTCAAGTGCTGCATCAAACACTCCTGTAACGTGCAGACACGGTGTGGAAGGAACCCGCCTGTTGCCACCGAGAACTGCAGAGCATCAGCAACCTGTGATGGAAGGGACCAATATGCCATGACCAGCAGCCAGTAATCCAAGGCAAAGAATGTGGAGGTTTGACAGAAGTAAAGCAGTTGATCCTCATTTTTGACTGCATACAGTTGCAGACCTAGTAATCCCATTCCTTAAAGCTGTTAAGTTATACAAAAGGGTAAACTAAGTTACAAGAATGACTTACGTAAGTTATATGTTGTATTTACCTAAGGCTTCTTCTAGCCTTGTGCTCATCTCCAGACAGCAGGTGGTTAGCAGCAGTATCAGAAGAGAGTATACAGTGATACTTCCCCAGAATACTTACCTAAACCTGCAATAGTGGTGCAATGTAAAGAAAACATGAAAGTATATGCAAGTTGTCAAAAAACGTTTTGCCTAAAACCTGATTTTGCCCGTATGAGTCATCTTCAACAGCATACAGAGCCAGAAAGAAGCAGAAAACAACTTCCAGCAGTGACTGCATGGCATGGTGTTTGCTTGTTTCTCATCCTGGTTTCATCCCTTTTACCCTTCTACAGCAAGAGCAGAAACAGCCCTGACTTGTCCCTAATCAAGGAACACAGAGATGAGTGGGACTATTGCAACAGGTACAGAGAAGTGACAATGGAAAAGGGAAGTCTGGAAAAGAGTCCACTCACCAGGGGAATGGAGAGGAAAATATAAAAAGCCTGCATCTCAAAGTCTGAGACCGAGCTATCTGTCATTAGAACAACCTACCCTTCAGATTTCCTCTCCTACTCAAAAGCCCAGATTTCCACTATGGTCCCTCAAAATCCCCAATGACCCCTCATAGGCCTTTTCTGCTTACTAGTCTCTTGTAATAGATCTTGAACCACTCTCAACACAAGCATACACAATCCAGCCAACAAAACCATGCGCTTACAGGCCAGCCCAGTTTTACTGCAACAGTTACAGCTAAAGCCACTGTCCCAGCTGTTCTACCACACGCTGTCCATGTGCTATCTAGACCAGTCCACATAGTGCTTGGCAGCACCAACTCAGCCCCTGCAGTGGCGACTACAGAATTATAACTGACCTCTTCTGGACTCTTACAGTAAGGGTAAATTCCAAAACCAAACCCTAATTTATCTATAAAGTCTTTGAAAAAAATAAATTTCTTCCTGTTCAATAGCAATCAAGTTGGTCAGATTTATTAATGACTAAAGCTGACTCCAAGGCATCAGATAAATAGCTAACTGCTGCCTTCTCTGGGAGAGAAGCCATGCATTTGCTAAGCCTACCAGGAGAAAGCACCAAGCCAATCCATTTACTGAATTCCCAAGGAATAAAACATGATATGATGGTATTATGAAGACAATGCAAAACATGGGAGTACCACAAGTAGAACGAGCAGTCAAAGAAATAAATCATGTCAGACCTCCTATGCCCTGTGGCAAGACAGAGAATCTAGGACTGCCTGGATTTCTGCTAGGCTGAGTACACTGCTGCAGTCCAAAGTCTACACCCACCACCGAAAAGCGGCAGGAAACATACCTGGAGAAAGGAACTGCAGCAATTCAACCTGAAGAGTTCACTGAAGAGAATTAAACACAGAAGACCCAGGTGAAGCTGACCTGCATCATAGCACACTGGATTGTAAGCACAAATCCCCAGATAAAGAGGAATCTTCCATCACTCATTACTGAACAATCGTTTGTATTGTACTGCTGACCACTAAAACCTTCTCTGGCTTTTCACTCTCAGTGACCAAACACAAAGAACTACCTCAGAAAAGATCTTCTCAAGCAATCAGTTACTTTTACTCAAAGTCAAGACAAAGATGATGTTCCATTCATCTAGAAGGTTAGTGAGAGAGTTTGTAGTAAAGACTTGGGCTTTCCACACAAGGAGAGAAAATACTTAAATATTTAAACAAAAATGAAAGAATCTTTGTGATCAATATTCTAACCTGAATGAACAAGGTTATAGAATAAACTTGCCCACAATGAAAACAATTGTTTAGCTTTCACCATGAAAATCTTTGTCCAAAGTCATTGCATGATAAGGCTTGAATTCAAGGGCAGAAAAACTACAACATGCTGAAGAGCTGTGTATGTGCATTGATCTGTGGAACCAGACAACAACTGTTTGATCAAACAGCATATGATTAAATGTTGTTTGATCATAACATTTTATGATTAAACCTTGCATAGACTTCTGTCTTACAGAAGATCTCAAGCTATCAGATTTTATTTGTTGCAGCACAAGCCTCTAGGAAGAATTGTATTATTTCTTCTGGTAGTACAGATATGCAACCAACAACGTTTTACAGTAGGCAGGTTGCTACAGCTCAGTAGGGACACCCCCTCCATGGCAGTCAAAGTTGAAATAGCAGTATCAGAGTTCCACAGACATTATCATTAGAAGTAACTTCAAAAGATAATCTTTAAATACAATAAAACAATGAATGGGGAAGACAGCCAGTGAAGATCAGAAACCTTTCACTGCCATTCTCTGCGTGTATTAATTATATTCAGTTACTTATTGCAAGGAATAAGCAGTTACAGCAACCAGCCAAAACTAGGTATAAATAATACTTTTCAAATTATACAGGCAGGAAGCCATCTAAACCAGAGTTCTTCATTCCACTGCTGTGCCTTTTAAGCAGAATCTCACTTGTATGTGCAGCCTGTTCCAATTTTAACAACACTGGGAAGCTGTCTCTAAGAAGTGCTTCCCTAAAAAAAGCATCTGTGAGAGTTTGCTCAGAGGTACCTCCCAGTTATTTGTTCCAGTAATACAAAGTAGAAAAGACAGCTTAATTCCAGAACATCAAGGGTAAACTGCAAAGTAGCCAAAAATCAGGCTACTTCACTAGCTTACTTACATTAGAAGTAGGATTCAGGCCAATGAATCAGAGTAATTGAATCTAACCCCATAGACCTACCAGTGCAAGAAAAGCACAAACAACAGCTGATACCAAGACAACAGAACAATGAGTGCAATTCTGTGTACCTTAGATACCGGGGTGAATAGTTCTGGTTAGTAATTTCCACTCTAAGTCACAAGTCATAGCCAGTACATTTGGGAGCACCAGTGGGAATTTTCACCCCTACTTTTTTCATGCAGTCAAGACTTAACACTGACACTGATATTTGACTTATGGAATAACAATTTTTAGAGGCAAAGGGCCAAACTAACACCAGAGTGGGACTGAGAAAAACCTCTGCTGTATAAAGCTTACTACGTAGCCCAGATTAAGGCTTTGAAGAGTTTCTGTAGGCAGTCATATCTATGACATGCGAAGTCAGTATATAGGCAAGGACAAGTCATACATAACTATGCGTAACATAGCCATGCCCATTATGAAAGATCATAGCCACTATGTTATTTTCTTCTCACTCAAAAGGCTCTAATTTTCCTGTTAATCACACAACATTAACTACCAGGGCCAGCACCAGCAACATGGTAACCTGGCCTGTTCTCTCACATCCACCACTGCTTTTATTAGCACGTGCTTCCCAGAGCTGGATACCTGTAGCCTTAATCTGTCTGAAAGAATAACAAAGAATATAAAGCACAACCTGGCTTCTGTTTAAGTCACAGTAGCCTCAAGTTGTGCCAAGTTTGATCAATACTACTTCTTAAAAAAAAAAACACCTTCAACTTGCTGCTAATATTAGATATTAACTACCTTTTAAAGTGGGTCTACACAAGACCGCAAATAACATTATCAGCCTTGCCTGCTGGCTCTTTTTAGCTAGAACATAAACGCTACACTTTATGTGGTTCAACAACTGTCACATTCTAGTAATGTGAAACCTTCTCTGAGAGAATGCCCTGAATAAGGCTGAAGCTTCTCTGGTTGAAACTTTTGTTCCCACCCAGAATATCTGAAGGGTACCTGTGTATCAAAGACATTGGAGAGAAGGACACCGTACTGGTGAAAGAGGCAGTCTGAGATCCAGCGGCAGTCGTGCATGACCTGAAGCAAGAAAGAGCTGTCAAACTTGTGTCCAACTGTGGCTTTTTTGGTGCAACTAGATCATTATACGTGTGTATGACCTTTGCCACCATAAATGCCCTCACACACCCCATGCCCTTACCTTCAAGATGTTTTTATCTTCCAGCACCATTTGTAATCCATTTTTGAAAGCCCAAGGTCCCAGAAAGAAGATATCAAATAGAAAAATATGGCTGCTTGTTGCTATCTACAAGAAATTTCAGAGAAAATGAGTGAGGAACAGAAGAACAAAGGATTTGAGATTAGGAGAGTGTTTATGGCTTCTGCCCACAAGTCATAAACTCCTGTGTACAGGCTTATGTTGTGGAGAGCAGGTTTAGTTTCCTTAATGCTAATTCATAAACAAGTCTTGTTTTTTCAGAGATGCCCAGAGGCTCTCAAAATAATTAGAAAGCATGACCCAGTAGTCTAGTTAAATACAGCATTTTAAGGCATATCAAGAGCAACCCAGGAGCATGGCACTTCCTACACCTATTATGGTGACATTTTTAAAGAACCACTTCAACAAAATTATTGTGCCCATAACATTCCTTTCCTTGCAAAGACTGCTACCAAAGAACAAAGGACATCATTTTCCATCCTAACATTTCAAACAGGATATAAAATTTAGGTTTTGCCTACGTTCAAATTCATAATGGTTTAACAAAAGCTGTTATTTGAAAGCAATTTAGCTGTACCAAAGCAAACATTTTGTGGACACTTACTTCTGCATAAATGAGTTAAGTTTGATGCAAGAACTCCCACACAAGTTTGTGCTTTGGATAAACACACTCACTTTTAAACCAATTTAAAAATAAACTAAGATGATTTTGAGCTAACATACTAAGCTATTCTCCTTTCTGTCCCTTCCTTTTCAGATGTTGATAATATTGCAGCTAATTAAGATACTGAATCATCTGTAGATGGATTTCACTCCTTCAATTATATTGGCATTGTGATTAGGTCTTGCAGTTTTTCAACAGGTAACAGCTGCACTAGTGTAAAACCTCTGCCTGTATACAAGTATATAAAGATGGCAAACCAAATACATTACATTGATATATACAAATGTATATGTTACATACAAGTTAATTATTATATTGCCTTGTAATGGCAGATTTTTTTCCACAACAGGTCCTTTATGAAATACCTGATCTGTCCTGAAGAACACCATATCCCTTACCAAAGCAGCTACATGAATAAGTCTTAAACACAGGCTAATCCCCAAATGTTTCTCAGTTATGCCTTTGTTTAATGGCACATTTTGGGAAATACCTGTCTCTTACCTCAAGCCACGACAGCTTTCCATGACGACACAAATTAACACCTTCTCCTGCTACACTGACAACACGCTGCTGTTTCAGGTGCAGCACCTAATGAAAAAATAAGGATAAAATAAATAGTGCCAGAGAATTAACACGCAGAGGGACAAAAAGTAAACTGTGATTTTTCTGGTTATGACCCATATGTAAAAAGGTAAATACAGATCAAAATCACAATGAATCCCAGATATATAGTGATCCAAGACAATGCCTTTCTACCAAGTCTGCTGATGTCATTATACATGATTTAAGAGAAAAAGGTTCAGGCATGTCTGGAGTTCCAAACACCTACAAAAACAACACAATCAATTCCCTCTGCAAATGCCAACAAATCCTCAGGTTGTTCCCTTCCTAACTAAAATAATTGTTCACTAAATAGTAATACTGACCCTTCACCTCAATTACTGGTGGTGCAGAGTCTGAAAAAAGCAACAAAAACACACTGATGCAGACTCACACCCACCCACTGCAAACTCACATGCGTTACACTCTTTCCATGCACATATGCACAACTTTAAATACACCTGGATGCCACCAGAGATGCCATTTCTACTTCAGTTTCACTACAGTCTGCAAAAGTGACTTAAGAGTGTAAGACATCAGGAAGCGGTGCTCACAATCCTGCCACCTAATGGATCTACAGACAATTAGGGTGGAACAGGCCTAGAAGTCATACATTCTCCATAAGAACTTTCATCAGCACTTACTGCTGGACCAAACTGCTGGGAACAATCAACAACTGTGTACTTCACATTCTCTTCCTCCTCCTTCTCTAAAAAGAAATAAAAAAATAATAATCATTAGACACTTCCTCTACTTGAATAGACTTTGCACAAGGTATGTATTTTAGTTCTATAATTACTCTACTTTTCCAGTTTAGCTGTTTAGTTATTCCTTCTCTACTTCCTGAACACACCCAGACAGGTTATTGAACTAGCTGATTCAGACGTGTACAGTGTAGAACATGAGCCAAAATTTTGGTTTTTGAGAGAAAAACAGGCTGTTGAAAAGTGAGTTGTAGCATTACTTTTTTCCCTATGATGCCTAAAGGAAACAAAAAAGTTTCCACTTTAAAAATTACATCCATTAAAAAAAAATAAAGCATCCTAATTCCCAGGCTTGTCCCGGGAAGGAAAAAGATTGTTAAAGACAAAACTAACCTACAGTGACACCACAGAACGTGGACAGCTAAGGGATCACGTGGACAGAGAGAATTTAAGCCAGATTTTAATATTTTTAACACCTGCTTAACAATGTCTAATGAACACCTTAAGAAGCGTTCTCATAAAGATTCTCTCTTCTCTTTAGGTAAGACACAAATATTAATAATATGCATCCATGGCAATATGAGGACAATCTTCTAAGCTCTAAAATAATATTCAATTGAAAGATCATAAGAACAAATGTTTAAAGGCTCTCCCCAGTTCACATCTACCCTTGCTCATTTTCTCCTCCACTACCCAGGTAAATCCAGGTAACCTTCCTTTAACCTACACAGGTCTTGCACTCTTGTCACAGCTCTACAAGAGCAGAATGAGCTGATCACATTTTGGATCTGTACCTGTGTACAACAGGAACCACACAACCAAACCAATGCAAGCACGTGGCAGCCAGCACAGAACCAAAGCGCAATAGTCTTATCAAGCTTTGAGATATCTATCATGCCACATACCTTGCACAAACAAGTATAAGATTAAAACAATCACCAGAGAAGAACGCTCGCTGGCTGAAGCACCTTGGCTTCTCCAGAAGATCAATTGTGCTGCTCAGCCACTTTTACAGCTGATGAGAGCTACAGGACAAATATTCTGGAATGCAGATGCATTTGCTTCTGATGTTGTGACCTTTTTGCAGGCAAAGAGCATGTCTGCAGATAATGAGCTCTGCCGATAATGAGCTCTGTACTTATTTTTCTGTGACCATTGTTCTTTCAGAATACACCCTGTCCTGATATAGGCAAACCAAGAGATCACAGCCTCTGGGAAAGATGCTGGCTGACAAAGACAAGGTAACTACATTGCTTGACTAATATCCACATTACCTGAGGGGGAGTATTTTAAGCTATTTGAGGCTCTGAGCTGGCTTTCTAGGGAATCGCAAAGAGAACTCCATGGGTCACAATTTGATGGTCCTGCGTCTGCGCGTTTGTTCCCTTCGACAGCTGAAGTGCACCTGCACGAGCAAGGCAACCATACACAGCACAGAAGTCAAAACACAACACGTTCCACCAGCATGGACATTTTAATAAAGACAATTATTTCATCCAATGCCATCCACCTGTGCCCAGACAATTAACTGCAAAGCAGCTTCCTAATCTAAAGTGCATGGTTCTTAAAGAAGATTTTGAAGCTACCCAACAATAAGCTTATTTTGCACTAAAGTGCCTTTATTTCAGATAAAGTTTCACATTTATTCTGAAAGCACAAGGTGAAAGCAGTACCTGAACAGATGTTCACTGCAAAGGTCAGCCATGGTTTCAAGGAAAGAAAGAGTTCAAAATACAAAGAATAAAGCCCAAGAACCACACAGTTTAAATATCTGTAAGTCTTTGCACTGAATCAATAGTATTTGATCCATTAGTCACCGTAATTGGAGGGTGATTTAACAAGTTCACCAATACATAAAACAATTATATCCACTGAAACTTTACTGTAATCAAATGGAAGTTATTAAATCATATAAAATGGTGGCATGTCAGGACCAAAAAAAGGAGTTAGCAAACATTCACCTGACTTACAGATGTAAGACTTACAGATATAAGATGCTTAGTTTCTATGACAGGACAAGGTCAAGAACGCTTCACTGGGAAATATGACTTATTAGTATAAATTTCTTTATATTGATATAAAACCAACCCATTATGATGATAGAGCTGCAATCATGTACATCTCTATGTCAACAGAATAAAACAAAAACTTTCTGATTAGTCTTAAGATGTAGCTGAAAAATCTCTTATCTAAAACTGCACATTTAAAGAATTAACACAGGAATCTCCTGCTGAAGTGAGCGTATTCAAGCACGTGAACATAGGCTTACTTAACAGGGAGTAAGGAGACAAGACAGCAGCAAGCAAGACGACAGCTGCTAATTGCAATTCTGTGTGTTTTAAACTATATTTTAAAGTATATTCAGTAGACACCACTATGTTCCTATTTCTCTTAAGAGGAAGAATAAATTATTCAAATGTGGTCTTTTGAGAAGACTCAAAACAAAGCCATCTAGGAGCACAGGTCTGCAAGAGTTTGAAACATTATTTTTACCAGCTTCCCAAAGTCACATTTATGTATGTTCTGAGAGCATCTGTATAAACCTTAGCCTTCCCTAGAAGGCTAATTGTCCTGGAACTGTTCCACCACAGAAGAAATGCTCATGGGAAATCCTCCCTGAAACCACAAGCTGACAAGGAAACAAACCAAGCAAATTTTTCTATCTAGGAACACTAGTGGGAAGGAAAAAAAAAAAAGAAAACAGAAAAAAGCAAGAGAAAGATCATAAGCAGTATCTTTAAAGAACCCTTCACACAGTGCACATCTTCCACTCACCACCTTGTTCCCCTCTTTAGAGCAGAGAAATACAAACTTGGCATAGCTGAGTCAGAATACCAGTATTACAGTAAACTTAAGTGGTGGCCCCCCTAGCAAGCGTATCCCATCCCTTCGCCTACTGTGAAAGGAAGGAAACATTTCAACATACTCAGAGAATGTTGCTGTTCCCTTCCCCAAATCTGGTTCCTCCAGCAATTCCACTGCAATAAAAACAAACAATTTATACTCTAGTGCTAACAAGCAACTTTTCGTCATTTGTCATCTCCCAAAAAAGAACCATAACCAATAGTAACCACCATAGGATATGGCCATTCCTGAAAAAAAAAAAAGAAATTGAACTCAAAGTGTTGTTTTAATCACTTTAAGTTCACTCTGAGGTACAAATCTACATAAAATAACTTACATCAGTAACCTGGACAAGGTATATTTCAGAACTCTAGCATTTAAAAAAAGACTAATGGCTTAGCATCCCACCAAAGCCAATACTGAACGGTAACTAATTACTTTGCAGACTGTCATATATAGAACAAAGCAGATACAAGGAAAAATGCAAAATGGAGTCAGTTTAATCACTTGGTAAGTCCACAAAGCAAAGCAGATGCCAATAGAAATGCACAGGACCTTTTTACACTAAAAATGTATTTCTAATAATCCCATATTCTTCACTAGAGAATCATGAAGAGAGGCTTAGATAAGCAGACTGTTTAAGAGAGATGTATTAACTGTGCAAGTAAAAGCAAACCCAAGTTAACTACAACTATAAGCAATTTAACTTCCCAGCAGAGTCCACTAGTGAAAGCCTTGCACATACAAGAACACGCAAAATGAATGTAACTCACCTTCAACAGATAAACAGGGGTCACGCTTATCTCAACCAATTAGCTTTGCAGTGTTTACTTTCATTAGTTGTCTTACTGGACTTCATCTGTTATTTAACTAATAAGCTTTAGTGCAGTATAGTCACAAGTCCCTCACAAAGCAAGGAATTATAATTTCACTGATAACTGGGGAACCAAAGTTGTATGATTTATACAACATTCTAAGTCCTACTGCTGTTAGAACAAAGGTGTGCAACTGAAAAACGCAGCACAGTGACCAAAAAGTGGATTTAAAATGCTGTACTAAGAATGAGCATGATCCCTGTGCCCTAAAATGTAGTGTGAAAAGCCTCACCATTGACTATTTCATGGTCAAAAAACATCTTTACTCCTGGAGTGCTCCTGCCAGTTTCCAAGTTCTTCACTGAAATAAGGGAGAAGAAAAAAGTACAGATATACATCAAGCTCCACTGTTTGGGTTAAAAGCTTATTTACAGAACAAAGCGAGACCATAGGACTGAGTGGTACTACTAACTAGGAAAAAATTAAAATAATTTAAAAAAACAACAACAAATAAGCTATATTAAGTGATAGCTCTTTAGAGGAGAGTTTGTGTAAGGTAACAGCGCCCTGAATAGAGCACAACCCAGGGCTGCCCCACCTACACAGCCCAGAGCACAGGCAGGTGCCGCCAACTTCTTGCCATTTAGCCTTTCGGGCAGCACCCAAGGGCGCTCTGTAGGAGGCTGCCCGCGCCCTCCCCTCAGGGAGCGGGGCCGCTAGGGCAGGCCTCACCCTCCCGCCCGCTCCCCTCACAGACGAAGGCCGCTCCGAAGGGCACAGCGCCGTACGGCCCCCTGGGCCCCGACCTCTCCGCAGAAGGAGGCTCCTGTCGGGGTTCACGTGCTGCAGCACCCCCTGGAAGACGCCACATCTTAAGGTGAGTTTAACGGTTCTCTCCAAAAGGGCACCGAGGCGCTCACGGCTGAGGGCCATACGGCAGCCGGAAACGGCGGGAAAGCGGCTACCGCAGCGAGACCCCCGAGGCACTAAGCAACCGCGCGGCGCCGGGTTCATATCGGGAGAGGGCGGGACTACTAGAGCCCACACCCAATCACAGGGTGGAGGAGAGCGCCCACGCCCAATCACGGGGTCGGGGGGGAACTTGTAGACGCAGACCGGCAGGAGCCGCCCCGTCGCCTCAGCTTTAATTGCTGCCCGCCGTCGCGCTTGCGCCGTGCGCATGCGCGCGGGTGTCGGCCGGCGGCGGCCGGGCGGTGAGGGGGGTGCTTGGCGAGGGCCGGGCCGGAGGCGGCGGGCGGGGCGATAAGAGTTGGTGTGGGTTCGCCTTCCGCCTTAGTACGGCTGGGCGACCGCGGTGGGGACCGTGGGGAGAGTAGCTGTGGCACCGCTGTTGCTGCTCGGCGGCGTAACTCTCCCCGGTGCGGAGCGCGGCCCTTCCCTTCACCTCAGGCCCAGCGGCGGCGATGGGTTCCCGGGCGTCTACACTGCTGCGGGACGAGGAGATCGAGGAGATCAAGAAGGAGACGGGCTGTGAGTGCGGGGGTGTGAGGCGAGGAGGACCGGGAAAGTACCGTGGGGGCTGGGTGCCCGGAGCCGGGGCAGCGGCCCCGTCCCTCAGGCCGGGGAGGTGCCTGGGCCGACGGCTCTCCCCTGGCGGTTGCGCGCCGAGCCTTGCCCGGGGCCGCCGGCCCGGCCTTGCCCGGTGCGGGGGGGGAAGGCGAGCGTGGCTACTACCTTCCCGGTAGGCCAGTGCCCGTCCCCGGGCCAGCACCCCGCTGTCCCCAGCGACTGGGGGCGGAGGTGGCTCGTAGGCCTCGGCAGCGCCTCTTGGTTCGCCCCCCCCGCTGCCGGTCGCCGCGCAGGAGCGGCCTCGGGGAGGGGGGGGGACGGCCCTGGGCAGCAGCCCGCCGGCAGCGCGTCTCCTTCGGTGCTCTGCCGGTTTGCCGCTCGCTCGGGGCTGGCAGCGGCCGCCGGCGGTAGGTGCAGCTCTGCTGGTGGCCCAGGGGCTCCTTGGGCCGGCCTGAACGCGACAGTTTGGCGGCCGCGGGGGGCTGGTGTTTGGCTCGGAGCGCCTGGAAGGGAAAGGTGTCCCCCGGCCAGCCGGGATCTGCCAGCCCCTTCGGATCCTGGCTGTACCGGGGCTGCGGGGGAGACCTCGCGTGGGGGCCGTGACCGTGGCTTAAGGAGGTGCAGATCGGCTGTGTACCGCGGCAGCGAGATCCGAGTGGGAAGGGAGAGGAGCAGTGCTGCTGGTAGCCGGAGCGTTGCGGTTCGGTCGGAGAGAGCTCGATGGATTTTGGAGAGTTGCCTGTCTCTTTCTAGTGCTGGAGCCGTTCTCCAGCAGCTGTTTTTAGCCCGAAAAAACTCTCATTCTATAATAATATTTTTTTTCCCCAAGTATTGCTTCGTAGGCTGTTGCTAAAGTTGCCATAGGGGTAATTGGAATGAATGTTGAGTGGCATTTAAAACATAAAGGAGGTAATATAACCTGTGGAAGTTTGGTATGGCTAACTATAAAAAGTGAAGATTCCTGCACTAGTCAGCAGTTGGGAGAGCATTGTTCAAGCTGGACTGTAGTATATAGCTACTTTGCCCCATAGCATTTGATAGTTATTCTCCATAAACATAAAGTACTGTAGAAAAGGGAAAACTCAGTGTTAATTTGGCTAATTAGAATGGTTGCCAGTCAGAGATTTGTGGCAAATATTGAATGATAGTAAATGGAGCCTTCTAACTAGTTGGAGAGAGGAGGTCATAACATCATAGGTACCACTTTGCTGTTGTTTGTCTTTTTTTTCTTTTTTTCACATCAGGTAAACAAGGTCTTCCCAAGTCATGTTTTTTTCCTGCTTATGCTCACTGTTTTGTTCTTGCCACATGAAAGCACTTCCCTCAGTTTTTCCAATGGAAATCTTATCATATATTCATTTTAGATGATAGTTTATTTGCGTCAGGAAAATGAGTGGCCACAGAAAAGGAGTGGAAGAAAATTAAGACAGTACTGGCTAGAGTAATGGACAGCTGAGTGAGTGAACATACTTTCCATGATCCTTTTTCCGTCTGTCAAGGGAACCTTTTACAGGAGGGCTGTCATAAACAAGTAGGAATGGCCAAGTCTGCTTATCCAGCAAGAACTTACTTGCTGGGGTTTTTTCCTTTTTGATCGCAATGATCCATAAAGTAAAGGTAACCTCACCTCCCTTATAAAGATGCTTTAAAAACCAAATGCCAAATCTGGAATGTTCTTCTAAAAGGTTTTACTTTTTTTTTTTCTGCCAATATTTGATTTTATTGTTAGTGGTGTTTTATTTCTAGAATTTTACTTATATGATGATTAAATAAATACCATTAAGATGGCTATTTAGGCATTTTAAGCAATACCTGCTTAGTTCTAGTTAGCCCCTAAATGTTTTTCTTATATCTTCAAAGTAGGGAGCTTAAGGTTGTGATCAGCGGGTTTAAGCTTGGTGGTCTGAATTTGGTGAATTTTTCTGTTTTCACTGGTCAGTTTTCCAAGTAATACCACTTCCTTAATCAGGCATTGCTAATCTTTTCTGACTCAGGCTTGCTTGTTGTAATTCCTCACAGTGTGTCGTAGGCCTTATCAAATCTTTTCTCTTTTTTTTTTTTTTTTCCCCTAGCCTATAACCACAGTCTAGGAACGTGATTTTTTCCTCTGCCTTATGTATTTCTTTAGGCAGGTGAAAAATTCTGCCTTGTATAGGTGCAAGTATTTATGTGAGGTAGAAGGTAGGGGAAAAACCCAAACAAAACCAAACAACCCAGGACGCTGGTTTATCTGGACCAAGGTTCACAGGGAGAATGCTAAGTTAGTGTTACTGAAGAGAGTATCCTGTGGTTTGTTAGAAACTTGATGCCGGTGATACTTCACCTACTGAAGAGTTTGCAAAAGGGACTTTGTAGACATGAAACAATTTGGCAGTACTACATGTCCGTCCTGAACAGATGTTCTAGCAAGTGCTCCTAAGGATGCTTTTTTTGGCCTCCTTACTGTGAAATGTGACTTACTGGGTTTGTCTGGGATAAATATGAAGGACTACACAGAACACTTAACCAATTTGAGTGAGTTCAACTATGGAATTACACAACTTTGCTCTTGTAAATTTTATATAGCACAAAACTGAAATGCTAATGATACTAACATGAGTGATAAATCGTGTTAATATTCTTTAGCTGAACAGATTAAAAAGGTATATTTTAGGAGACTAGAAGCATAGTCTTTCAAAAGCCATACAATGACACTTAATCTTTTGAATGAAATCTAAGTTTGGAATAAAGTTCTATATTATTATTTTTTTTATTTTGTGGTGAAAAACACTTCTTAGCATAATAAGTTTAGCAACACCTGCAAAGGTAATATTTCCAAGAACTGGAGAATAACTTGTCCACAGAAAATCATGTGACAAAAAATCTCCAAGTTCTCAGTAACAGGTGTTAAGCCTGAAGTTGACAGTCCTAAATCTTATATGATGTTGTACAGAGATTGTTTGCTTTGCACGTAAGCATTTTGAAATTTGAGTTTGAAAAAGCCTTCAAGTAGTTCCTAATTGCTTTAGTATTTCAGTAACAACTATAAGAAACAGATGAGAGGTCCAGGATGTTGCACGTCTGCATTCTGTTCCAAGCTTTTGGAAAGCTGTTGGAATGTAACAGTATTCAAACTATTTGGTTCACACCCTTTGTTCCCGTGCTTTGAAGCAGTCTACCTAAGGATTAATAATAAACTAATCCTCATATGAGAGTTTAGAAGAAAAAATATTTTAGTGTTTAACAAGTGATGGATTTTCTGACAGATATCTATGTATATATTAATATCATATACTTATATGAGCTTCTGCTGATGTTTTAGAAGAGCTTCAGGGTATTTAATTGCAAAAAAAAAGTCATTATTTAGCAGAAGTAAACTAGAGGGTACAGCTTCTGTTTTGACTTAAATTTTTAGAAGGACCGTAGTTGGATAGCAGAATAGATAAAATGTGTTTCATCTAGCTTTAAGCCTTAACTGTTGATTTTTAAGAAGCAATCATTAGTTGCAGATTTTGTTGCTGGTTCTCCTGTGGTCAGCAGGGAATGTCAAAATTTTTATTTTGCATGTGAAGGCTCTGAAAAGTGTCTAGTGATGCAGCTTTCACGAGGGTTGAGAGCCAAAAAGGAAATTAAGAAAGAATACAGTAGCGGACCTGAATCATCTTCCCTTCTTGTATAGCCATGATATGCTTTTTGTCTAGTATGATGTTAACAAAAACATTGCTTCACCTGTCAATAGCTATATATTATTTAATCGCACACTAGCTGTTACGGAGGAGTTCCAAAACTGGAGTTGGTGACATCTGTTTGGAAATGGTAGTTGAGTAGAATTCTTACCACCCTCTTACTTTCCAGGGAGGAGTGGGAGTACAGGCTGCTTATCCAAGATGTAACTCCAGGCTATTATTTTCTCATCATTGGTTGTTGTTATTGCATATCATATCTAAAACACTAAATCAGAAATGCAGAAATTTGAAGTCTTTAAAATACCGGTGCCTGTTTTCTACGTGTGTGTTCCTTAACTTGGAATTGAGCAAGCTGCCAGGTCTGACTGGAGAGAAGTTGCCTTAGGTGGAACTGAGCAAATTGCCCAACCCTATGCAAAGAATGAAAGTTGCCGAGGAGACAAGGGAAAGAAAAAAACCAGAGCCAAACCACAGTAGCTGGCAGGTCATTCCAAAAGAAGGAACAGTTGAAACAAATAGCCTGGAGAAAGAACAAACCTGAAAAAAAAAATAATAAATTGCTTCACTTGTCACAGATCAGACAACTGCTGTGCAACCTGTTCCCAAATAAGTTTTAGCAAGTAACAAAAGAATTGTACGTGTGCTGGTGAAGGCTTTTAAGACAATTGAATCTGAAAATGACATCAAGTACTGGTTTAACATCTGAAAATGACATCAAGTGCTAGTTTAGCATTGAACAGAATTACACCTTTACTGAGTAAACATTAGAATTCAATTCAGGCTTATTTCATGTATTTATTAACTTCATCTGAAGAGGCTCTGAAAAACCAACATTTTTTGTAGGACATTCTTTCAGTGTTAAAGGAATGGCTGTTCTAGATAGGTTTAACTCCTCCCATCATGGACTATTCTAAAGACCTAGATGTCTAGTATCTTGGGTTGTCTAATGTCATGGTAATGTTGAGACCATGATGCTAAACATAATACTGTCTTTGCAATTTCTGTTTCAAATTGCAGATTTTGAAAGTCCAGTAACTTTCTATTTGCTTTGTGTCCCAGCTCCCTCCCAAACTTATTTAGGAATAGGCTTTTTAATTTTTAACTTAATGTTCTAGGAGCCTGGAAGTTGCTGTTTAGATTCAGGCAGTCCTATAATGGAAGAAAAGTGATCAGATGTAAAATTTCTCTGACCACTTTCCAGATGCGGAGAAACCAAGTACACTTTCCATCTAAAGATGGAAAAAGGCAACAGGAGTAGTGATTAAAAAAAAAAAATGGGGGAAGAAAAGATACTAGAGCAGAGGTCTGCATTGTCATGAATGATGTAGAGGTGGTGAGTTGAAGATGTGTCTGCATTATTTCTAGCCATAAAGGAATTAAGGGAACTGTGAATCAAATATCTTTTTAATTGTCATGTAGTGAATCAGATAACAAAAGAACGTTAGAGAAGATGGCAGAGTTAGACAAATATTTGAATAGGCTTATTTGTGTATTCTTGAATATTAAGACGCAATTTGCAGCTCAAGAAGTCCCTAAACTGTTCACTGCTATGTGCTTCCAGTGTAACTTGTTTTGTTTTGTGTAGTCTCTTTTTTTGAGCACTGCTTCTGGCAACAGAGTAGTTCATTGTAATGGGGTCTGTTCCTGTGAGGAATCATTGACATGCTAATTTGTGTTTGTTTTTTTTATTTCCCCCTCTAGTCTCCCACAGTCAAATCACCCGCTTGTACAGTCGCTTCACCAGCCTAGACAAAGGAGAAAATGGCACTCTTAGGTGAGTATCCTCACTATTTTGGCTGTCCTTGCATTTACACGTATCTGGAATGGTGGCTTGCTGTTGCAGGTTGCCTGCTTGTTTTCCTCATATGGTGAATCAGTGAGGCTATTATAACAGGTTCTTTCATAGCTACCATCTACATTGACATTCAAGTTTGTTCTCCTTTACGAAAGGTCAGGGGAAATCAGATTGTTGAACTGAGTCAAGGTGCTCTAAATACCAGTTATGTTTACTGTAGTGCTGCAGGTTTGTAGCAGTTAATGCAAGAAAGGTCAGATTTGATATTCGAGGTCTTAAAACAAATATTCAGAAATGTTAAGCCATGTTTTTAGATTGTTATTTTTTACCTTTCTTTATATGTTGCTTCTAATAATTATTACAGGAGTGGTTCTGCTATGTCGTTTTCATCCTGACTTTTGTAACAAAAGATTGTTGACATTTTTGAGAGCCTGGGCTCTCAATTGTTTCTGATACCCAGTGTCTTTTAGCAGTACTTTGATCTGCAAGCCCTTTACTGTTCTTAACTTTGCACCTCCTGTTAAACACCCATGTCTGTTGGTACACTCAAAAATAAAAAGAGCTGGAAGCAAGTCACTGTGACCAAAAAAATACAGATTTTATTCTTTAAAGTAGTAGTGTGGGATATTCCAAGACCTTTAAAGTGTTTTTTGAAAATTTGAAAACTACAATTTGGAAACTACAGAAGCGAACCAGTTTCTTACAGCTTAATTACAGAAAAATGAGGCTTAAACTTTATTTGCAAAACATTTGTCACTGATGGACTGAGCCTGCTGGAAAGAGTAGTCTCAACTGAAAAGTAAACTGTAGCAGGATGATTGTCTGTTAAGATATGTTTTTGTCTTTGTTCTCTAGCCTTCGCTACTCTGGTTATTGCATTGCACATTAGTATTGGTTTGCTCCTTATTCACTGATCTAATTATGAATTCTGATTGTTAAGTTGGCAGAATCACAGAATCAGCTAGGTTGGAAGAGACCTTTAAGATCATCTAGTCCAAACGTAAAAACAAAACAAAAAAACCACACACCAACACTAAAGCATATTCCCGAGCACCGTGTCAAGTTGCTTATTATTCTTCTCTTTTGATGTTGCCTACAGGTAACATTATATTATGGAAGTATACGACAAATAAGAGCTGTCTATGATTGCACCAGGGGTGCAATTTTGCAACCAACATAGTTGGTCTAACACATGTGGGCACTGAAAGTCTGTCGCTTTTCTGTGTGGATGCTGGTACTCAAGGCTCATCTTTGGAAACAAATCTACAGTTATGAAAACTTACCAAGCAAAACAACAAAAAAGGAAGCTGATCAGTGTTCAGGTGGATTTTGTTTCCCACTCACCATATAGCCACAGATGCCAGAACCAGTGCACAGGGAAGCTGGAGAGTGCAGGAGAGGGTAGGAAGAGGAAAGGGGTGGTGGTGTAGCATAGTATAAAGGGTCTGCCTGGAATGGAGTTAGTTTTTTTCGTAGCAATTCCATCCCAGTCAAACCTAGTTAACATAGATACAGACATCACCTAGGTTTTTTTGTATGTCATCTTGCAAAATGTGATTTAGGATGCACTATAAATGTATAAAAGCTAGACCTGCCTGTAAACCAACCCAACTGCAAAGCTGGAATCGCAGCTTAGAAGATGAAGGTGACAAGTTGTAGGGTACACTGCCTTTGGCAATGCTGCTGGCTTACTGCGGCTTCCTTTCCTGAAGGAAATAGGCACTTCCTTCTGGTCCCACAAATTGCTGACTTCTCAAGTTAACATTTAAGTAATTGGTTGTGGAGTTGTACTGTAAACAGGACTACCAAGTGATTATTTTTGGTTAAAACCTCCCCTTTTGGTTTGTGTAGGTATTTTTAAGCTGACCGACTCCAGTGATTTGGACTGTGGCTGTACTGTAAATATCTGGACTTGCGTAGCTGAAGGGATGACAAAATGGATTGTGGGTGTGGAAACAATTGGTTTGGGATGGGCAGGAACTTCTTAAGCCCATTCTGTCACTGAAGCCAATGTATCATTTAAATTGTAGCATTGGTTAATTGGCAATTGTGACATACAGATCAGCTGATGATATTGTAGGTAAGGTTAATACTAATTATGTCTCAAAAGTAAATTACTTGAAAGAAGAACGCCAACAGCCTCTTCAGGCTTTGTATGTGGTGGTAGTCTTCACTGATAAATAAAGATGGCTGCCAGCCTAGCACAATTTGAACCTAGCACACACTCCTCCTCAACTCCTCCCTCCAACTTTAAATTCACCTGTGGAGTCCATAAAGTCCGTATAAACTTCAAAGTGATTGTACTCGGTTTACGTAAGAGGAGTAATTAAATATGCTATGAATGTCTGTTGCCCAATGCTTAGACTCATGGTGTTCGGTATCAGGAGGAGTTTGACTTTCATTGTCAATAATCACGTGGTACCTGGAAAAGGAAGTGAAGTTAGTTTGGAAAAATCCCAGGGGCTGTGCAAACTGTGATCCATTAACTTGCAGTCTTGGCCTCTAAGCGTAGCCTGCTCCCAAAGGTGGCTGTCTTAGTGGTGTTCATATTTTGAAACCTGTCCTGGCACTCACAATATGTGGAAACCATTAGGTTTGAGTAATGGAAAGCTACTTCCTGAATAAAACAATGAGGGGAGAGTAAGAACTGCAGCTTGGAAGGTCATAAATGTTGGTTTCTGAAATACCAATGAAAGAACTTGCTACTTTGAGACTAAAGAGATTACTAAGAGACTACCACCAAACAGTTTAGAAGACATGTCTTCTGTATGTTTCCTGTGAGCAAGAATGATTGTTTCCATAAAGATGAGTTATACCTTTCACCCACAAATCAGGCATGACAGAAATCACTCATGTGACTGTGACCGGGAAAAGAAGTGTCAGATGGTTCTTTATGGCATGAAATAAATCTTTAAATGTGTACCACCCTTCTGAAAAAGAGAAAAAACCCTGTGTTTTCCTTATTATGTATGTATTAAGGGGGCAAGGTAAAGAGCACTTGGTACAGAGGATCTGCTAGATGATATGATTAATCCTGGTGGGTAGAGAAGACAGGTAGTTCATTCTGGAACTATAATCAAATCTGAAATCTCTCCTAGCCAGATGTTTCTATTCAGTGTACCTACATGTAGTTTCAAGACACTCTGTTTGTGAAGTTACGTAAATGAGACATAAGAGAACAATATGGATGGAGACAAAACCACATATGCCTTGTTTTGGCTTATTTCCACTCCCCTCCTTCCTTCTTATCCTCTAAATGACTACAGCCATGGTTATTGATTAACTCTTATAAGAAAAATGTTATATTTTTCCTTAGCTTCACTTTTCCTAAACAAAATGAGTAAGGTCCCTCAGACTTGCACCATCTGAATGAAACAAGTTTTTAAAAGCCAGGACAAAACCATTTCTTTGAAAATTCTTTTGTCACCTTTGATTTCAATATTGTGACATGCTGAGTTGTCAAAACAAGAGCTTGATACCCGTGGATGTTCATAGCTACATCTGAATTGTAAAATCTGAAATATAGTTGTTCTAAGTCTAGGTCAGGAGGAAATCAGGATACAGTTTTTTTTCCTTTACATTCTGATTTCAAAGGAAATGGAAGTGTATGACCAGGATAGGTATGTGCTTACTTCAGTGAATTTCCTTGTTGGGCTGTTACTGAAGTGGACGCCACAAAAGAATAGATCTGCTCCAACATTTATCTACTAGTAAGTAACTCTAGACAGACACCTATAGAACTATAAAAAGGAAATACTTGTCTAAACTGCTACTTTAGCATGTAACTTTTGCATGGAGTCTCCCACTTAAGGTAGTTTCTTCTGTGCTGGGGAAATGACAGGTTAAGCACTTCAGAAGTATTTTTTTTACTGTACACCAATTGGTATAGCCTGGTGAGTGTAGAAAAAGGAAGGGAGGGTAAGTATTCTGAAAGCTGATATATGAGGAGAATAGACACACTGAGCTGTTTGTGCGTATTTCATGCTTATGAAAGCTGTTCACAAGATGGTGTCTCCTGGAGAACATAAGAAAGCCTCTGGTCCTGAGAGAAGCGTAACAAGAGTTAGCTGGGCCATCTGTTAATCTTTGTCAGTGAATTGAATCATGTCAGTCTGGAAAGGTGTCGGGTTTTTTTGTACTAGTTTAAACTGGTATTGCAAGATTTCAAAGTAAAACATAAAAGGTAGCTCTCTGAACATGGACTTCTTTACCTTTTCTTAAGAAAATGCAAGGGATTTTTAGCTTTATCTAAAACAGACAGGACAGGCAGGATATGGGTTTGGGTTGGAGAATGATAGGGTACTAGAACAGTCTATATACTTCCATCCTTGATCATACTTTATTCGCACTGTTCCCCCCCACCACCTTGCTCATCTAATTATCACCTTTACTTTTAGCTTATTTCTTGGCCTAATGTTTATAAACTGATTACTCCTCTGATAGTTAAGCAACTTTTTAAATTTTTCTAGAGCATGTGTAAGGATGAAAGTTAGACGAGTGGCTGGCACAGCTGTGAAAGAGGAGGGTGTCCATCCTCTTTATCATTTCTCCAGGCTCCCAGCACCTCTTTGTCAGCCGAGGTGCTGTTAGGTTTTTGAAGTTTTTTGAACTGCTTCAAGTTGCTAATTCAACAGAAAGATGATGGAGAGGAGGAAGGTGGGGACCTTTTGCGGGGGGTTAGTGAGATACCTTGGACCACCAGAAGGTTTGATAAATGACAAAGCTAATGTTAGCAAGGGAGGGGTGCAATGAAACCTCTTCCGTAGTAACCTGTTACATCTGTTTGACCATCTTGCATGATACACCTTAGTACTTTTAATTATTTCCCTTTTTCAAGTAATTTCTTGTTACCTGTATCCTCTGGATATTTTTCTTTCCTCTAACGCTTGTTTCACATCTGGTTTGTTTTCTGTCCATTGTTTTACTTTCCCTCAGCTCTAGGCAGTCCTACCCTCGTCATCCCTGTTGAGGGAACAGTACTCTTTGCTGCTATCTAGAAGTAAAAAAAGAATGCACTAGAAATAATGGAGGAAAAATTGGGTCTGGTAGGTTTCTTGCAGCCTTTGGGGTAAGGCAGAGCCGCCTTTACGGTAAGGGATCTGCTCTGTACCTTGGAGGGTTATACTCATGCTTAGAAATACTTGTCTGTCTTAAAATCTACAGATTCCTTACTTCAAATTGTGTCTAAGTATGAATGCACTGGCATTTACATTAAATGGTTGGCCTGCATAATGATAACGTGCAGTTAAAGGTTGCTTTACACGTTACAGTTAAGCAAGGATTTAATAGCAGCCGGGTTCCAGGAAAGGTATGTTAGAAGAGCCTTGTTGCCATGGCACACGAACACAGAAGAAGCAGAGGGCATCACATTTCCTGTAAGCTCCAGCCTCAGCCAGGTGAAGTTGGTCCCTAATGACTCCAGGAAGCCTTGGTTTATAAAGTGGAGAATAACTTACATCATGCATGCATTTACTTTTATGGCTGTTACAGCTATTTCAATTATAACAGTCACTCGGTAATGTGCTCTTAATAAGCAAAAATGGTCTGCTGCAATCCTGATAATGACAGGACAAGTAGATTTGAAACCTGGGGAATTATTTGTGGTTAATTGTTAATCTCCTGTTAGAAAGCAGAACAACTGGAGGCTGAAATGCCAAGCGTAAATTGAGGCTCAACACTAAGAATCAAGGATACACAAGTTAAAATTCTGAAGCGTTAGGATTTTACTCTGTGTGGAAGAGGGTACGGTTTCTGCTTTTGGCTTGTAAATGTTAGCATTGACACTGAAGTCCTGTTGTTAAAATTTTGTTACTAGGGCATAGGTTTTCCACATCACTGCATCTCCTGCCTAAATCACTAATGCATACTTTGCCCTTCAGCTATAGCTTAAAATGCAGCAGTCCTGAAGGGTCTGGTAACTCTTTAAATCATGTTTTCTCTATGACTAATGACACAAAACAAAGCAAAAGGCAATGCCAAGCCTGTGTTACGTTACAAACTAGCAATGTTCATTTATCATGTTAACAATACTTCTCAGATGCTAACACTGTTCATGCTATAAACCTTCCTGTAATGATGCCAACTAGTTTGCAATTTAAGGAAAGAATCAGAAATGGCTTTGAAGGGAAATACCGCTTCAAAAATGAAAGTAAACTTTTATTTTTTTAAAAAATTATTTTGGTACTGAACCACTTGAGTTAGTGTGGTTTTTCCAGATTATTCCATTTGAGATTCTGGGACAATACCATACTCCTCCAAACACCACAGGTGATCTGCATATTCTAATATATTTTTTTTGTTTAATGCAATCTTTATATATAAATGCCAAATTTCAGATTATTTTCGTTTCAACCAAGCACTACCCAATTTTAAAGTACTAAATTTAGACTTCAGCAGGGGCATGTATAACAGATCTAACTTCACCAGCACATTGCAAATACTCGCTGCTCTCACCAGCCACGTTAGTTATGTTTTAAAAACCACCAAGCATCTTGCTGCAGAAATAGAACCCAATGAATGTTTCACTGTGAATTCTTTTTACGCAACTTTTTCTCCTCTGACTTCAACTTTATGCAGACTTCTTGTGTTTTTGCTTTACTTAGCCGTGAAGACTTCCAGCGGATTCCAGAGCTTGCCATCAATCCACTGGGAGACAGAATTATCAATGCCTTCTTTCCAGAAGGGTGAGTTCCAATGGACTGAATTTGTGAGCAGGCACAAAATTTGTAGTTTGTCAGAAGTTTTGATAGGAGTGAAACGCTGATATCTAAAGCACAGAATTTGAATTTACTACTGAACTCCTCAAACTCATCATGAAGTGTATGTGGGTGCATTGTTTCCTCAGCATGTTTTCATTCTGCAGTGAGAAATACTTCACAACCTTACAAGAGCTTTGTGTGCTTTATTCATTGACAAACTCAGGCTTCATATCGTGGTTTTCCACAGTTTTTCTTTGCTGTGCAGCTGGACATTTCTAAAGAAAGTTAAAGGCATGTATGGACTTTGGCTTTTAAAGAAAGTTTGTAGCAGTACTGTTTTATTTTAAGTAGTATTGCAATTAACTAATTCAGCCTTGGTTTTCATCTTTTAGCCTCTAAGTGTACCTTTCTTATTAGATCAGCTTTTTTGTTTGTTTTTACTTTTTGATCACATTTCATAGAATCATAGAATGGTTAGAGTTGGAAGAGACCTTAAAGATCATCTAGTTCCAGCCCCCCTTCCATGGGCCGGGACACCTCCCACCAGACCAGGTTGCTCCAAGCCCCATCCAGCCTGGCCTTGAACCCCTCCAGGGATGGGGCAGCCACAACTTCCTGGGCAACCTGTTCCAGTGTCTCACCACCCTCACAGGAAAGAATTTATTTCTGAGACATTTCTTTCTTTTAAAACATAGATTATAGCACTTCTGACATAAATCCAAAGAGACACTCGGGTTTGCAGTGCTGTCTCTCTCCATTACACCTCTAGATTGTTCCGTGGAATCTGCTGCTATTCTTGAACACATTTGTCATTACTGATTGATGAAGATTGGATTGTCTAATCAAGTCATAATATCAGCTAATACCAGGCAGGGTTTCCTGAATAGAAAGCAGGAGTACCAGTACAGCACCTGAACCAGAAGAGCAGAGCAGGTCCAGTGACTGTTGTCAGCCAGCAGTCCAGTGGTTGCCAGACAAGTTGACAGTGGTGAAGCAGGTCTTGGGTCGGTCCAGGGAATCAGGGTACAGATCAGCAAGATACATTGTCAGACTCGGGCGTAGCTGCAGGATAGCTCAAGCAAGGGCCAAAGGTGAGGGCTTGATCTTAAATAGAGCTTGCAGGCAAGGGGAGGGGAGCCCTCAGTGAGATTTCTCACAGCTTCTCTTTTTTACGCATCATACTTCACAGCAGTGTGATCCCGGGTTGCAACTGCGCTCTATCAGAGCTGGGTTTGAGCAAAGGCAGCCAAACCCTGGGGAGGTGGGAGGGTCTGCAGGGTGTTAATGCTTTAGACATTCATACTACTCTTTACTGAAATAAAGAATTTGTATAAGCTGTGCTAAAACTGACCTACTGAAGTGTTTACGCAGAGAGGACCAGGTGAATTTCCGTGGATTCATGAGGACACTAGCCCACTTCCGACCCATAGAAGATAATGAAAAGAGCAAAGACCAGAATGGACCTGAACCACTCAACAGCCGAAGTAACAAGCTCCACTGTAAGAAATGTGAACCTTCCCATAGAAGCAGTTATTATTTTTGTTTATTTTTCTGGGAAGGGAGTGAAAGGGGCTTGGGGTCTTCTGGACAGTGTTGTTCCCTGTGCAACAATATCCTCTGATACATGACTTTTCTTTTTTTTTTTTTTTTAATTGCAAGCTTACCTATTTGGAATGTCAACAATTGACCCATTCTTTTATTGGAATTTGGTGGAATTGGTTGAATCTTGATTAATGTGTCTTTCCAAAAGTTTTGTGTTTTGTAATGGTTTGCATCCAAAATTATTTTGGATTTAGAAGCCACATTCCATATATGAATGGGCTTTTCTGCTTCTTCCTCAGTCTTCCATATAATATAGTGATTTTCCTCACCTTCAGCTGAGTACTTTCTTGAGTATTTGGATGTCTGCCTACAGTACATGAGCAGAACGCTCTTGCTCATTAATCAAAGTTGGCAACAGTCCTCAGAGCACTTAGAAAATTCTGTCATATCTCATCCGGAATATAGTGAAAGAGAATTAATGGTAATGTAAAAATGGTTGGCTCTGAAGTTAAAGGATTGAATATATCTTAGTGGTAATTATACTTCCATGACTTGGGGCTTTGAAGAAATACCTCTGCAAGCAAAGTGCTTCTGAAAGTGCTCATACGAAGTACTTAAGTAAGATTTTTGACTTCTTGGCAATAATGTTATTCCGGTATGTGGTAATAACACTTTGTGGAACTGAACATGAATTTTATGTGAATTAAAAGTCCAAGCTAATTCTCTTAAAATAATTTATGAATAGTTACTCTTTTTTTTTTTTTTTTTGAGAAATATATTGTTATCAAGAAAAATAATGGCACTTGAATTAAATTGCCCATTCTTTTCTTCCCTGTAGTTGCTTTTCGGTTATATGATCTGGATAAAGATGACAAGATTTCCAGGGATGAGCTGCTTCAGGTAAATAGCACAGGGCTGCTTTGAATGATTCTGTCATGGCCTTCTCTGTGATTTCACGCTCATTTAGAATGAAGAGGGGAGTTAAACAGTCTTCTCAAAAGAATTCCTGAAGGAATTTGGTGGCTAATTGCTTATCTCTGGTTTAAAGCTTTCGATAGGGTATGAGACTTTCATCTCATTTGGCAGCCCAGGCTGTTCTATCAGAATGCTAGATTCAAATTTAAATCAGAACAGTAGGCTGAGCAGATTCTAAATATCCAACAAATACTCTAAGCCCCTTAAGAACCACCTTCTATAACTTTCAAAGGTGCTTCTAACAGGACTTCACCGGGGACAAGCTTTGAGGTGGGTTAGGTTGGTTGCCTGATACTCTCTGCACCCTCTCAGTAGAATAAAGCTTGTTGAAAGTGCAGCAAAGGTAGTCAAAGTTCATCAGTGCTGCATATATATGAAACTAGGCTTAAGCTAGGAGTAGAATTAGAGTAATTACATACTACTAATCCTGGGAAGTAGACATGGCAATTTGTGGTTTCTGATGTAGGAAAAGCATTTGCTTTTGTCTGAAACTGCCCTCCTCTGTGTTCACAGAAAATGCTTTACTAACTGTAGAGAGTAATGGCATTTATCATTTGACCATATACTTACCAGCTTCCTGCAGGCAACTATCTCAAACAGTAAATATTGAGTCAAATGTCAGTATGTTTTGTGGGGAAAAAAAATAGACAAAACCATTGCAACAAAACTTACTCATTTGTAGTTCCAAAAGCTTTCTCATACTTCTGCCTCTTCCTGCTGCCCAGTGAAAAAGCAGGATTCTTTGTTGAAGGTGGCTACAAAAGGAAGCTGTCTTTCCTGAAAGCCTTGATGTACAAAGGAGAAATGGAAGTCTGCCTAGAAATTACTGCCATGGAAGTCCTCCAGGGTTGTTCTTGTATGCTGTTATTTTGATAGCATACACAAGAAAAACAGCACTAAGAATACTTCTGTTCCTATATCAATAACAGTTATTTTGGTTTCTTATTTAAAAAAACAAAAACAAACCCATAACAAAAACCAAAACAAAACAGAAACAAACAAACAACAAAAAACCCCCAAAACAAGCAAATAAAAAAACCAAAACAAAACCCTAATAACCTGGGGACTTCTGTGTGTCCAAAAACAAACCCATAACAAAAACCAAAGCAAAACAGAAACAAACAAACAACAACAACAAACACAAAACAAACAAACAAACAAAACCCAAAACAAACGAACAAACCAAAACCAAACCCTAATAACCTGGGGACTTCTGTGTGTTACAGGTATTACGGATGATGGTTGGTGTAAACATTTCAGATGAGCAGCTGGGCAGCATTGCTGACAGGACAATCCAGGAAGCTGATCAAGATGGGGATAGTGCCATCTCCTTTGCAGAGTTTGTAAAGGTTGGTAAAATACCTTTTTAATGATTAAATGAAACTGCTCAGTAAAGGGCAGGTCATTCAGATGTAAATGCAAATGGAAACAGGTAGTCATTCAGCTAGACCTGTCTGCCTGAATTGGGGCAAGGCAAGACGTCTTGCTAGCAAGCTGTCTGCTCTGTTTTCCTTGCCTTCCTTATGAAGGCATTTATTTTTTTTATACTAATAATTAGTTCCTACGTTTCTTCATACTTTTACATAAGCTACAGCGCTGGATATACTCAAAAATTTTCACTCTGTTCTTTTGCAATCATTTCTTTCTACACAAATACCCTGACTAGTACGGTGACAACATAGTAGTAATTCTGCTATAATGCTGCTGATGAGTTTTCACGTGTAGATTATCTGTTAGTGACACAACTTGTGTCAGTATTGAAGTTCCTAGCTCTAGTCCTTTGAATTGCATATTTTGTTTGTGTAGATTTTTATCTGTTAGTGACACAACTTGTGTCAATATTCAAGTTCCTAGCTCTAGTCCTTTGAATTGCATATTTTGTTAGTCAGAAATAGGTAATAGTAAGGAGTTGTTACGTAGTCAGTGGAGAAAGTTGTCTTACAGCAGAACAATTTCAACTACCTCATGGGATGGTATTGACAAGAGGAACCAGACTCATCTTGGAGGTGGACAAAGACAGGACAGGAGGCGACAGAAACAAATTACCTCATTGGAAATCCTGGTTAGCTATAAGGAAAACTTTTTACCAAGAGGATGATCATAGGTGCTGAAGATGTAGAACCTCCTTCCCTGGAGATGTTTAAACTTAACTGGACAAGGCCCTGAGCAACCTGATCTAGGTAGCCCTGGTTAAAGCAAGAGTAGAGAGAGTTGGTCTAAAAAACCTCCAGAGGTCTCTTCAAACTTAAATTGTTCTGATCTTGAAACACTGAAGTCTACTGCCTGAAACAGCCTAGAGCAGACTAATATCTTCATACCTCAGCGTTAATAGCAATTTAGTGAATGAACTTCCCAGTCCAGTTTTACAACAATTTGTGTTAGTGATGCTGTGGTCTTGATTTTAGCTCTTCAATGACTGCTCATGCCCCTTCCTCTACTTCATTCTCCCTTCTGCTTCCTGGCCATGCATTCCCACACAACCTACTTCTGGGAATCTAATCCAAGCCTTTCTGGGCTGTTGGCGGACTGAAACTGCATTAGTTGCATTTTGGTTGACAACCTTCTTCCAGCTTTAGTGGCTGAAGTTTCTTTTCTTGGAAGGACCTTAGTCCAGAAGGAAAAATAGCAGTCTCTAGATGAAAGACTGGTGTGCCAAATTGAAGACATCCTGTGTTCCTGCCTATTTCCTCTGTAGTAGAGTAAGAAGCCTTGTAGGAGAGAAGTGCATACAGTAACTTAAGTAGCTGTTTCTGAATTTTATTGCAGGTTCTGGAGAAGGTGGATGTAGAGCAGAAAATGAGCATTCGATTTCTTCACTGATGGATGGAGAACCTATTGCTTTCTACCCCTACTTATATAATGAATAAACTTCATTTTCTCCTTAGCACCTTCCCACAGAGCATTGCTACTGGTGCATATACAATACATCTCCAGCCCCTCCCTGATTTGTTTTACCAATGTGAACATTCCCTGTGCATCAGGAACAAAGGGAAATGGCTGCCATACAACTTGGAAAGGAGCATTTATTTTTTTTATATATTTTCCTTCCATTTTTTTTACCCTTTCTCCCTTGTCTCCTTCCTGCACTACTGTTTCAGCAAAAATGTCTCTCCTTATGTACTGCTGTTTAATCTACAAACTGATTCTTCTGAGCTCTGAATCTGAGAATGGAAAAAAGAGAACACGCCACAGAAGTGCCCTCTGAAACACTTTGGAGACAAGCATCTACTCAAATACTAGGTGCCGTGATAATGATTCACTTTTGCTTCCAGTAGAAACACTACATTACACCTGCTATTTTGTTTTTTTCCTTTCCTATTTGGCTCTTTATATGCAGATTTGATTACTCCCTGCTTCCAAATCTGCCTTTTACTTGAGGACTTCTCAATTTCTACAGCTTCATTGTACAAGTAGCACTGAATGCATGATGCTAGGCTAGAGTACTGTGAATAGTTCTTATTCTTTGTGGGATGAACTCAGAGACAATAGGAGAATCTGTGGTGATGACAGGCTGGGGTGCCCTCAAAAGGAATAGGAATTCTGCACTAAGTCACTTAAATTGTTCCAGTAGCAGATGCAGAAACTTGTTTGTTTCCTTTGAGTAGCTTGTGGGATTGACTGCCAGTGGCCCGTGAAGTGCCCTCTCCAGGTTGCTTTGCTCTAGGATCCCTCCTCTCATCGGGGTGGTTTTGCCTCTGAAAGTGTACATAATGCAGTACCAGTGTACGTAATGCAAGAAAACCAGTCATGCCAAAATCTGGATTAGTAGTTCTGTCACTGCCCCCTGCTAATAGTGTTATGAAACTTAGTAGTGATTTCTTCTTTTCTCTTTTAAATCATAGTGGCCCAGATAATTACATTTTCCAATATGGAAGTCCTGGTCTCTTCGGTTTGTGCTGAGGGTGGTTGCTGTATTTGTGAAAGCTCTGGTTTAAAAATATAACTTGGGGAAGTAGCTGTTATCCTAAACGCTTCAGAATGTATTTCTACACGAATCTCTCTGCAAGCGTAAGATGATTAATACCATTAATGTAATGCTGATGATAAATTCAAGAGATCAAAATTACTGAAGGTTCAATAGTAACATAATTTTCTGTGGTTAGATTGGCAAATGCTCTCATCTAGTCCAGCTGCAGCATCCGACAGTCTGGCAGGTCCTCCTGATAAAACCAAAAAAAAACCATGGGACCTACTTTATTGAAGAATCAGTGTTATAACTGCTTCTCTGTGTCATGTGTTAACATTTCTATAAATACCAGTCTCAAACTATGCTTAAATGTGCATTTCCTTTTTTTTTTCTCAGTTCCTTTAATCATCACTTGTGTTAAAGAATAACATGTGAGTCTCTGAAGGATTTTTGATTTGTTTTAAATGAAGGAATTGCCAAGTGAAATGTTGCACTTTATTGTTTTGCAGAGTGCAGCACAATTCCAGATAGAAATGTAAATTAAAAACCTCTACTCTGTATGAGAAGTATTATAGTTTTATGACCATGTAATGTAAAATAGGAATGTAACAATGTTAATGGGTTGAAAAGTAAAAGTGTTTGTAGGCTTTGTGATCTGCTTAAAAGTAGGTGTTGCTCTCTTCTGGCTATATAGTTGTAACCTACAGTTGTGCCTTATTGTCCCAGTGAGACTGGATATTGTATTTATCAATCCATAAATAAACCCTCCACTGTATTAAAAAAAAACCAAACAAACACAACCAAACTCAAAACTATTCCCGTATGGTAATTGACTATCTGTTAATGACTGGAAAAGTTAAATACCAGTAGAATGGTACTGGCAGGCCTTACAGATCAACTTTTTTTATAACTGAGTTTGTTTTCAGAGTATTAATAATCCTTCATTCTGCTGGTAGAGTGGAGGAAACTAGTGCAAAACATAAGCTCCAGAAGAGGACACACACTCACAGTACTGCACTATGGTTCCCATCACAACATGAGCTTTACACCTCTCCATGGTTCCAAACTAGGGGTTTTTTTGCCCCCTCCCCTTAGTGGTGTTCTAATTAAAGGGTATATAATACCAATGCTAGTTTGTGAAGTCTGTCCTTATAAGCTCCCACCTTGGAAAGCGGGTATTTTTGCTAATGTGCTCTAAAGTGAACATAAATACTCCACTAGGTGCACACCAAAAAACAACCCCAAAACCCACAACCAAAACAAAACCTGACTAACCCTTGCGCAATAAACAAACAAAACCAAAAAAACACCCAACTTTCAGAATGTAACTTTGCTGTGAGCTGTGTAAATCACATGGAAGCTGCTGAGTACCTTATTCTGTGTTCTGAAATCTACTTATTTATCTTATAACTTGAAAGGTGGCAGACCATAAGAGAAGTTTTACAGAGCTGTTAAATTTGAAATTGTTGAAAACAGCTGTACAGATATAAGATCTCCACAAAAGTAATATTTTTAGCATACCTGTAAGCAATTCAGCATACCTGATTGCTTGTAGAAATTAAATCTTGAGAACAAAGGTAATCTGTGAAGGTTAAGCTCTGGAAGAGGGGTAAAATTATCAGCTCAAAGGCAGAACTAGTTAATATTTCATCTTTGTCTTTTGAAAAAGGAGTATATGGGATAGGTAATTTAAATACAAATGAACCATTTTTCAGCTCTACTGGCAAATAGGAAATAAAGTCTATTTTCAGATCTGTACGCTCGAATTAGCCATACTGTGAATCTGTGGAGGGTTGCCTGCAGAAATCTATGGTTACAATGACTTTTCCTTAACTGTTACAGGGCATTGTGAAGACTACAGAAAGTGGGTTTGATAGCTAATCAATCTAAAGTTGACTTAAATAGCTGAAAGCCCATTAGCTTGGCATCAAGTCTGGCCAAAAGAATCCGAGTACTGGCTTTACTGTTAGTTTCCATAACTTGAGGATGGGAAGTTACTTGAAAGGTCCCTTTTCAGTTCTTCGAAACTACGACTTTGGTTATAAATAGCGCGTGGATATATTGAAGTTGGCAGAAGCGTTTCGTTTAAGCCGACAGCCTGCATTAAAAACACTCCATCGTAGAGAAGCTGAGTGTTAAGTGGATGAAGGATTCCAACTGGAAGGGCTTGTGGGAGCTGTGGGTGATGAATCACGGCTAAATGGGGGTGTCTCTCCACAGCTTGCTGAATGGGCGAGCGCTCCTCTTCACGCTCTTCAATGCACTCACCCGTCAGCCTGAAGTGTAAAATTACTGCTGCTAAAAAAAAAGAAAAAAAATTATATAAAAAACCCCCGTTGCAGCTGACACAAGCCCCGGCGGAGTGAATAAAGGCAGTCATTCAGAGCAATCAAGATCCCTTGATAGCGGCGGCGGGGCGGGCTCAGCCGGGGGGTGAAATGGAGGACGGGGAGGGGCGGCGGTCCCAAACGGTTACTAACGGTCCGTGCCCCAGGGCTCTTCTGAGGAACCTCCGGCCGGGCAGGCCGTGCCCGTGAGGCAGGAGCCGGGGGCGGAGTGGAGGGGATGACCCGCAGCCCCCGGGGAACGGCCGCAGGGACCCGAACCCGCTCCCCGCGGTCCCTCCGTCCTTTTCCCCGCAGGGACGGGCGGCCAGGCCGGGGTACCTCACCCCGCCAACCTCCCCGCAGTGTCGGGGTCAGACGTCCCCGCCGCCGCCCCCCGCCTCCGCAGGCTCCTTTAAATTCCTGTGGAGGTCACCGGAGGATTCGCCTCAGGCCAGCCCCGCTCGCGCGGCTTGCTCCAATCCCTTTCCAGGCGTGAGCCCTCCCCGGAGCCAATCGGAAAGGAGAGCCTAGGAGGCGGGAGGCCAGCCCCCGCGATGGACGGCGCGGCTGACCAATCACCGCCCCAAACTGGACGGCTGATGCGTACGAACGGCACCCAATAGGCTTGCGGCCGAGTGGGCGGGCCCGGCGTCGCCGGGCGCCGCGAGCCCCCCGCCGGGTGGCCGAGGTAAGGAGGGGAAGATGGCGGAGTGAGAGGAAGAGGCGGAGAGGCCGGGACCGGCCGCGGGCCCGCGGCCTCGGCCGCGCTCAGGTGAGTGCGGTGGGGAATTCAACGACCTCCGGCGCGGGGCCGCACCCAGCCCGGTGTCCCGTGCCCCGCTCCGTGATTGGGCTGGGCCCGGGCGCCCGCACACCCGCCTCCCCGTCCTGCTCCGTGATTGGGCTGGGCCCGGGAGTCTTCGCGCCCGCCGCTTCCTGAGGCGCGCTCCGCCCGCCACCGCCACCCCGGGCTGGGCCGGGCCGGGCCGGGCCGGACTGGACTGACCAGAACCACCGGGACGGGGCGGCTCTACGCCTGGCAGCGCGGCCTCCTCGGCGGCGGGGTGGCCGGGAGGCGTGTGGGGGGGTTTGTCCGTGTGGGGACGGCCGGCGCCCCCCGGGGAGAGCTGCCGGGGGACGGGTGAGGGGTGGGAAGCGGGGCCGGTTCGACCCCCTCCCGCCGCCCTGAGAAGTCTGAGCAACTTCGGAGTCGGGAAGGGAGGGCGTACCGCAGCTCCGGGCGGCCGGGGAGTTGACCGGGAGGGAGAGGCTGGTTCCTGCACGGCGGTGGGGTTGGACTGGGTGATCTCCAGAGGTGTCCCCTCCAACCCCCGTGTCATTCTGTGGTGCCCTCCAGCCGGGTGAGGAACAGCCCAGAACACCGTTTTTGGTGAACAGCTGCCGCAGCTCCGGGCGGGCGGCGGTACCGGGCTGCAGGAGTTGGCCGGGAGGGAGAGGCTGGTTCCTGCACGGCGGTGGGGTTGGACTGGGTGATCTCCAGAGGTGTCCCCTCCAACCCCCGTGTCATTCTGTGGTGCCCTCCAGCCGGGTGAGGAACAGCCCAGAACACCGTTTTTGGTGAACAGCTGCAGCTGGCAGGGCACGGCTGTGGAGAGCAGAAACCAAAACGTGTCATCCGAAATTAGGCGTTTCGTCTCCGGTTCCAAGCGTAGCACTGCTGGTAGTTACTCTTCTGTTATCGTTGTTATTCATAGAATCCGTGTGCGAGGTGGATTTTGCTAATCGTTTCTGACGCCTTTATGTCACGCTGACACAGGAGCGCACAAAGGGGATGGCTTCCAAGTCATTTGACAAAACCAGAGTGTACGGCTAATCTACAGTGCCAAATAAGTTTTGTGGAGAGATTATATTGATAGGGGAATTGATTGTAGCCTTATGAATTCATTGGATTGTTGATAATCAGGTGGGAAAGACTTTACACGTGATGAAACCTAGAGGTCCTTTCCAACTCTGACAATTCCGTGAAACATGTGAAACTATTTACTAAAAACACTGCCTCTCCTTTCTCTGTCACTAACATGCAGGTCAGGTACAACATAAATTTTTCAAAATTATTGGAGATGTTTTGTATTGTAGAATGATACTTTGTTTAAATGAAACCTAGATGTCCTTTCCAACTCTGACAATTGACATGTGAAACTATTACTAAAAACACTGCCTCTCCTTTCTGTGTCACTAACATGCAGGTCAGGTACACCATAAATTTTTCAAAATTATTGGAGATATTTTGTATTGTAGAATGATACTTTGTTTAAATTAAAAAAAAAAAAAGAGGGGAGACTTCTTAGTGAAAGTCAAAGGATTGCGGTCACTAGCATGAGGTTCATTATGTTCTATATTCGATAACAGTTCTTTAAATCTGGAGTACATAATAGAATTCTAAGTGATGCATTTTCAACATGCTTGTCAGGTAAATGTAGAAAAAAAACCTGAAGTGATTAAATAAGAAGCACAGCTTTAGATCTTGTGGAGATGTGGCATGTTATCTTACATGACCTAATAACGAAGTGGTTCTAACTGGAGAAATAACCCAAAAGAAATATGATAAGTGTGTTTGTCACAGCTGGCTCTGAAAGCAGCAGCTGCTTTTGTGAAACATTTTTAAGGAACATTTTCCCAATTTCGTATGCTATGTTATTCAGATAGTAGCAGTAATAGCAGCTGATGAGCGACATAAGGCACAGGATGCTGCAACTGATCAATGTTCATACTTCTACGTGTCTATGTGTGAGCTGTTAAAATATGCCGGTGGATTTGCCTTTGACACATTACATATAAGGATAATTCTGAATTATATTATAATTAAAAGAATAATAGGCAATCAACTTTCTTTCACGTGAAGTTGTACGCTATTTTAGAATAAATTCAATTAGATTAATATTTATTTTTAATTGCTTTGCACGCACAAGGGCTGTGAAAAGTAGTATCTTCAGAAAAAATGGTGTTTTCTGTTGCCCTTGTATGTGTTAAATTAACTATAGGCACGGCTGTGCCACCTTGCCCGCAGTGCTGTGACTCTGCAGCGTGAAGATGTGCATGTGCAGCCTATGTGTGCATTTTAGGATTGTGACCTGTCATTCAGGAGTGTCAAAAATCATGGACTGACTAAAGTTAAAAATTCTGACTGGGTCTGTAAAAAGTCTGGAGTATGTCTTGAACACCTCCCACGTTCATTCTTAAAAACTAGAAAAGGAACAGTGTTTGAAACCAGTCCTGACATGCCGGGGGTGATGTGAATGCAGGAAGATTTAAATGGGAAAAAAAAGAAAAAAGAGGATTTCTCTAAAATAGGATGTGGAGGAAGGGATGATTCTTTGCCGAAGTAGTATTCAAGGAGCACATTACTACAGTGTGTGTATGATGGAATCCAAAGCTCAGCTGTAAAACAGTCTTCCCTATGTTCTCTGCTGCTGTAGGAAGTACTGGTACAACGTTGTACCAACAATATAGCAAATGCCCACTGGAAACCTCATAGGAGAGAAAGGTGATTTTATTTAAAATACAAAGTGAAACAAAACGGTCACTCAGGCTTGTAGGTCTCATAAGCAGCAGAACGTGTGCAGCGCCTGAGATGTTTTTCCAGCAGCCAGACACCATAGTGCGGGTGTTTGAGCTGTGTGTCCAGCCGCTTGTGTCCAGATCTAAGTCCAGGATCCCTTGTAGAGGCCAAGGGACATCAGGTGGCAGGTCCTTATGCCTTCTGGTTTCTTCCTAGGTGGGCAACCATTCTAGGTTTCAGATATGCCCTTTTGTATGTACCCTTTTGGAGGTGACAGCAGTCTGTGTCTCTACACTGTCCCACTCTTTGAATTATCACTGTTCTTTGTCTCCAGATCTGTGTGTCTTCTGAAATTGCAGGAAGATTTGCTTGGGTCTTGATGACCTGCTAACCTGGGTACCATCAACACAAGCCCTTCTGAGAGCCCTGCTCCTGCTCTATGTTCTTTTCCGTGCCTCCATGCTCAAACACTCCCTTTCTTTCTCCAGTCACACCAGTTGTAGCCTTTCTTACTACAATTTTCTGTGTTGCCTCATAGATCGGGCTTAGGGCCTTTTAAAAAGTTACCTAGGAAGTGAAAGGAGCGTGAAGACAGCTATTGTTTTTTCCAGAAACGTCAGCTACTTCTGCTGTATTATGTGTTTATGATTTAAGCTTTTGTCATTATCAGCTTTCCAGGTTAAATTTGACGTTTTTAGCCATTGGAAAGACCTCAGTGGACTCATGATCTGTAGTTCTGACTTTGTGTTCTGTGTCTGTATACGCCACTACTGCATTTAACTTCCAAGTTTTCTTGTCTTGGTCTTTCTACGTAAACTTATTTCTAGGTCTTTCCTTCCTCACCTACTTCTCAGGCTCTAGGGAAAAGGGGAGGAACCATACTTTATGTTCCTGTTAATTCTCCTCATCTCCTGGAGCGTTTGGGGGGGTGTGTGAAAGAGGAAAAGATAGTATTTTGTAAAGCTAGATCTGATAGATCTGAGTTTTTGCTGACCAGTCTAATTAACACTAAGAGTACCTAAAAACAGAGTGTGAGGGGTGGGGTGAAACTTTGTAGCATAACTGTAGGTTATTCATTTTAGTATAGTTTCTAATTCCAATGTGCTAATTATCTCATTATGTCAGGACACTGACCTTTTTTTTTCCCCCCATTGGTCCCTTGGTGATAAGGCATGTTGATCTATATAAGACGACAAATACTACAGTTTTGCTGTTAAAGTTATTTAGGAGATGTTTGTTCATCTTTTTGTGTGTTCCTGAAGTTGCCTGTATCCAAGAAATTGTCTATCTGAATGTAAAATTTAAAGTTCATAGAAACTAACATTTAGTTACATTAGAGAAAAAAATAAAAATGAATGGGCAATAGGTCAAAACTAATTAAAAGTAATATTTTTCAGCATTCTTAACAGAAAAGGATTAATACATATAATGTTGAGTTTTCACAAATATTTCTTGTTCAGTTGATCTGATGTTCAGTAAGGTATGAAACAAGAAAAAAAATACTTTATTTTTTCTTCTTCACAATTTCCACTGCACTTTAACTGTAGAGTTGATACTGTCATCATCAATTTCAGTGACAGCTAATTTTCGATAGCCTTGATTTATATCCAGTTACATTTGCAAATTCTGTTGGTACTAGTGTGAATGCTGCTCCCACATAATCTATGGAAGTTGGATAAAAACCGTGTCAAGCAGAGCAGGTGAAAACTGGGGCATCCAAAGTCAGTGAACTTGTTAAAATAAATAAATTGGTTAAAGCAAACTGAATTTCAGTATTAGATGAAACATTCCTTTGTATCCGTTGATTTAAGTGTCACCTGCTGCTTTTTTGTAGGAAGACTTACTTTAGTATTTAGTTTAATTTATGTGTAGTTTTAGAATAAGTGAAAGAAAACCTAGCTTTTCAAAGATGGGCATTGGGAATTGTTTTCCTTAGGGTCAGTAAGTTTGGGAGAGTTGCTGATAACTGTTCCTTATCAAGTTAATTGTTTTGTGAATCATTTGCTGTTGGTTCTTCAATCTCTCAAAGTCACGTAGTGCTTGGCAGGTTCTTGAGGGTGGACTTGAATAGGAAAGATCAGAATTGACATCATGAGAATTGAAGAACTACCCTGAAGTACAGGGCTAGAGATCATCTGCTGACGGCAGATTTTCTGAAGATGCAGGGCCCTGGTTCATGCAGAAACGCTGGCTTGTGCAGGAGGGTGGAAGCTAGTAATACTTTCTAGGATACTGGGAGTTTTTAATAATTTAAGTCCTTTGTGATGAGATAGTTCTGCTTATAGCAATGCATTATTCTTCCACTTAGGCTGTTAACTCAGTATCCTTGAGAACAGTCATTTTGCTTCCTTGCTACAGTGGTTTGGTATTAACATGAAAGAGTTTTTTGCCTTCCTGGAGGCTGCAATCGTGTCTGTCTCAGTTTGTATGAATCTGGAATGTGTCTGGTGATGATGGCTTACCATAACAAGGTCATTTATCTGCACAATTAAAAAGAAGTTTTGGTAGTGATGTATAGTTGATGCTCCACATATAGCATGGGCTGTAGGCTGTTCTCAATAAAATAGAAATCAACAAATTCCAGGGGAAAAAGGAATTCAGTATTGTGTAAACTACATTCACAAGTGATTTTACTCAAGGAAACAGAATGGTTTCTGAACAAAAGCCTTTCAGGCGTGTTTTGGGTATGTGCCTCTCCTCCCCAGCCTGTTTTTATTTAAAGTTTGCTTGTCCTGAGTCTTCCATACTCGGGCCCAACTCGCTTGACCATCTTTAAACTAAAGGAAGGGGGTGGCTATGATCATTTGAAAAGTAACAACACCATATTTTGTATATGATGTTTAAAACTGTTAACTATTTCCTGGAAGGTACAGCTAATCTTTTGTGTCTTGTGCAGATAATCATACGTGATCTGAATATTTTCCTAGAAGTAAATGTAATTTCATTTGTTTTTCTCTCTCTAGGCTCACTGAAGGAAATGAGGACTGATCAAAAATAACGGTGAGTAAAGCCATAAGATTATTTAGGTACTAACTATCAGGTACTAAGCTTGACAGGTTTGTTGGTTGATAGAGGTCTTTCTCATTATTTTTTTTTTTTCTTTTTTTTTTCTTCCCTGTCCAAAGAAATCAGTCATTGAGATTTTAATTTTTCGTAGGATACTTTCAGGGAACTGGAATGTTGCCACAGCGTCAGCTTTCAGCTTGGGCTTCACTTGAAAGAAGCTTTGATTTAACTATATATTCTAACAAGAATAAATGCTTTTAAAGTTATAAAATTCCTATCCAATGATGTCGTTTTGCTCTGCTAAGAGACACTAATTGTGTAATTTTATTAACTTGGAGTGGTTATCTTAAAAGTCGTATTTGTTAAACAGTGGGATTGGAACAAAGATAACCAAATGTCAATTATCAAATAGAAAAAAGTATATTCAACATTTCTAAGGATGACAGTCAATTTCTGGAGTTTTGATTATTATTTTTTTTTTCCCCAGTGAACAAAATAAAGATATTCTGGTGGTTAAGATGTGTAACAAAATGTTATATTCTCTTCTCAGCTCCTCCATAAACCTTTGTAATGTTTTGTTGCAGGTCCCCAGCTCCGTTTTTCCCCATCTTCATAACAAGAATAAGACTTTCCCAACAGTGTGAGCATGGATGGTCAAGCTCACGATCAGCTAAAATATTTGAGTGCCTCAGAGAGAAAATGATGGTGATGTGTGCTCTATTTCCATTTTCATGATCTGCTCACTACTGCTAACATAGGAGTTGAAAATTGTCACTGGAAGATTATTGCTGAACTTGATCAACTGAAGGGTTAAGGTAATTGGAATAAGATGAGAAATAGAGACAGAGAAAAGAGAGGAAGGGGTTAGAAAATATGGTTTTCATGTTCTTGTACGTGAGAGAGAGAAACCAAAGACAACAAAAATTCCCTTTCACATCTCTCATTGTAGTACAGGAGAATGATAGTAAATGTTTCTGGCAGTAGCTATGCAGGAGCACCCCTGTGTTACCTTCCACTCCAGGGTGGCATCAAACTTAAAGCAAAAAACTCATGTCTTAACAGCTACTGTGACTGGGTGATACCAGATGAGCGTCACTGCTGAAAGGCCAAGAGATCAGGGACAAGATGACAGTTGTTGAAGTATGTCTACACTGTGGATAAGTGGGGAGAAATGAGTAAGAAGAAAGTACCTAATCTGTGTGATCTTACAGCTGTCAGAAGTGCTTTTATCCTCTACAGCACTGACAGTTTCATAGTTAATTAGGTGACAGTTTTCGGTGTCTCTCTGAATTGTGACCTGCTGTAGTGGAATATACTCTGAGTGCAGTGTGCATTCTGGTACCACCTCAACATTCTCATGCTGTGTGTTGGAGCCACAGTTAAGAAACCCCATAGTTAATTAACACTGGTATGTATTGGATGCATTGCTGCTTAGTAAACATATAGTTCAGCATTTCTGTAGTATTTTCTTAGCCAGTTTATGGACATCCACAGTTATAAAATCTTACAGAGCAGTTTGTGAAGCCGGCTAATTTTGTCCATTAGAGTCAGGCTTTTAAACTAATGAACCAGTGGGCATCTTAATGTCATTGTATTTTATTCTGATTCCTAAGCTACCTCTCCTGTTTTTTTATTTTGGGATTCCAGATCCTCTCTCAACCTTCAAGAAGAAGGCGGTCCTGTTGCTTGCTCATAGGCTGCGAGATGTGGATGTTTCTCTTCTAGCAAGCAAAAACCTGTCCTTCACTTCCATGGAGCTGAACGAACAAAGATCTCTCCACCTCCTGTTTCAACCATCTCACCCAACATTTGATTCACCAGATGACTTTTCCCACAGAAGTACCCCACTGTTTTATCTAAACTCAAAAGCAGAGTAACAGAAATCAGCATTTGCTTCCTGAAGAAATGTCTTCTGTGCCAGCTCTTCATCCAGCTTTCTGCATTCTGTTTTAAAATGAGAAATACTTTGTAATCAGATGCAATTGGAAGCTGGTGTTTTTCATCGATATCTCCTTCTTCATTTTAGGAAGGTTAAGTATTTCACTGTGTCATTGGAATTCTGAGCAGATGAAGTGTCTGCATGCATTGCTTTAGTGTTTCACTGTGTCATATTGGAATTCCGAGCAGATGAAGTGTCTGCATGCATTGCTTTGTCAGACTTTCTTGACACATATGAAAAGTTGCAGTGGGAAAAACAGATCCTATTCTCTGCTCTGACATGAGGAAGAAACTTACTGAACCGGGGACATCCCATACAGGTATTTTCTAGTCCAGGATCCAGGCTTGACTTTGTAGATAGATGTCTTGATGTCAACTCGCATAAAGCAGCTAATGCGCAGGAACAAATGCAGAATCACCTTGTCTGTAGTGTGTAAATGCATCGTCCCAGTCTGTGATCAAAATGTATATTTGCATGTGTAAACCTATATAAGTACCGGATATGAAGAGCTTTCACCAGAAGGAAAAATTACTCTGCACCATTTCATTTTTAGCAAAGAAAAATGAAGCTTTAAAGGCTTCTTCAGTACGAGGATAATGATTAGTTTTACATTAAATCATTCCCTCCCTGTGGCTTTTTATGAATCCTTAGCAGCAGAAGGAACAAAACCATTCTACAGTAGAAGAGATGGGGCAGAACTTTTTTCTTTATTAAAGAAATCAACTTCTGGTAGGATGGAAGAGACCAGAGGTGTAAACTTGCAGTTTATCCAGTCAGATTCCTTGGCACAGTTTCAGCTTTTCATGCTGCTGATGGAATCAGCTTTTTCATTCTTCTGTGACTGAGAACTGAGATGACCTGATTGTTTTCATCACCTGGGTAGAAATCGGCCCAAGAGAAATGGCTTGTTAGCCACGTAAGCGGGGTGAGTTGAGACAGAGCAGAAATACTTAGGATGGGCCTTTTTCTGATTCTTCTTATTCCTTTCCAAACTAAGGCAAAATCTGTTGTTCTTATGTTTACACAAGATTCTTTGTCTCCATAATTTGTCATGATATAGGATGTTTTCTGTCATTCTGAGATGGGAGCGTATATTGTTTGCGTGCTCCCCGCTATGGTATTTTATATGGCAAGTAAGATTTCTTGGCAAAAAAAAAAACAGAACTGGGATGTGTATTCTGTTCCACTTCAAATCTGGAGCTCCTCTTAGTGCACCTTATTCCAAGCTTGTGATTTAGAAAATGTGACTTACTAGCTTAAAATAATATTTTCCAATCTGGATCAAATAAAGGTATATAGGTTCTGTTAATAGGTTTGGGGAGATAATAGCATGGTCGGGGGGGTGTTTTAGATTTCTTGTTTTGTTCTGTTTTAATTTTTAGATAACTGCTGGAGAGAGCCAGACAACCTGAAAATGGCTGAAAAAGCCAACAATTGAAATCCTTCTTAAATCTTAATGATAGATTGCAGGGGCAGCATTCTGATATTTAAAATGTGGTGACATTTTATGGGACCAAGTTCCATAGCAGAGTAAGGACAAGTGTTGATGTTGATCCTCGTCTTCAGAGTAGAGTTGAGCTAAGTCTGTGTTTAGGCTTGCTGTGTAACAATAAGATTTAATGTCAGCTTTACCCATTTTTTTGTTTCTGTGAAGAAAAGATCAGACACGTAAGCTGAAGAGTGGTGGGCAAGACACTGCGTATCAAAATAATGCCAACTGTAATGAGCAGAGGTGTGCACTAAAATTGTGTGTAACATTGTGATGAGCTGTGTGAGTTACACGGATCTTGATGAGGCAACCACCAGCTCAGCCTGACTTGTTTTAAGAACATAGGATTTCTTTGCTGAATGTGGTCTGAATTTTCTGGCATTGGGGACAACTAGAAAAGCACACTTCCTTTTAGGGCCTCCTTATGTTGATTTAATGTAGATGTTTGGAGAAGCAGGACCCATCTCTAAGTGATGGAAAATACCGTCAATATCATAGGATTGTAAGTGGTTGGGAGGTATCTGGTGTAAGAAAGATCTGGGAATTCCCTGTTCTTCCTTCTACCTGTACTTGCCCTTCTGACGTTAGAGCTGGCAGTTGTTTCTTGCAGAGCTTGATGATAAAATACGTGGGGGACAGGAAGGTATTTCTGTTTTCTGTGGACATGTACAAAAACTCAGAATTTGTCTGACTAGAGAGTAGACACTTTAAGCCCTTTGACTTCTTTTTCCATAGGAATAACCCCCAACATTTTGTAACCCTGCATTGTAACAACAACAAAAAAAAATGTAATTGCTGATTTTTCCCGAGTCCTATCCATGACAATGTAAAAACACTAGTTTTCAAGTTTAATTTTAGAACATAATATTTTTTGGAGGGCTAAGGATCTGTGGCTTTCACAGAAGTAATACTCCAATAGTGCATGCCCAGAAGACCCCCATTACCATACCTTTCCAGCCAGCACCTTTATAAAACTGCTGTGTTAGGAAATGCTGCCTCAGCCTACTTACACCTTCTTGGTCCACTTCTTCTCTATGTTGGTTGGAAATCTTCCCATGTGAAAGATTACAAAAACAAGGGGCATGTGCAATAGATCATATATATATACATATATATATTTTAATACTTGTGGACAAAATGATGTTACAAGTTGTTTGAAAACAACAAAATCACCAATGTCTTCCATTTTGAGATGTGTATAGTTCCATAAGCATTAGTGCTTTGTAGCAAACTGTAGTGCCATGTTAGGATCAGTGCATGAGCCTAGTAGTATTTTTACAATTTCAGAGTGACAAATTTATTAATAAACAGTGATGATAATGTAATTAACAATAGAAAGGATACAGTAGAAATGTCACAAACATGGTCTAAACATGCAGTATCCTCCCTTTGACAATGGCAACGCTATCTTTAGGTTAATGGGTTTCATAGAATCATAGTTGACTTCTTGTTTTTAGTCTGTCTGTCCAACTGCAATAGTAATGTAGTGTATGTAAGCGTCCAGAATTCTTATCTCTATCAGTAGGTTTCTTTTCTTTTTAGTCTTTGTTGAAGGTGTTTTTTCCATGTGCAGCATTTTCAATTTTATTACTACCCATCCTGTGATAGAAAAGTATGAATACGCTGAGTTTGTGTGCGTTTTGCATATATCTCTGCTACCTTAAGATAATTTACAAAATTTGTCAGTTAACTAAATTCTTTTTCCAGATTTGACTATGTAATTGTTATAACTACTTAAACATTATCCTCATTCTATAGTAAGTTAATGATTGCAAAATGCTATCTGCTAATTATATGTAGCAGACTTTTATCCACTATTGCAGGAATGGGGTACCCTTTTTTGGCTGAAGTCCTGTTGAATCTTTTAACACTTTTGCTGGATCCTGCATTTACATAATCTTAATAATAATAAGAGAGACTATTTTAAGGTCAAGGGCTGTTTTAAAAACAACATTGCAGACTGTATCTGTGCAGCAGGCTATCTGTAGCCTGTGGATCAGAGATTCCCCACCCATCCTGTATTTTAGGTAACTTCCAGTATTGCTTTCCAGCTCTAAGCTCAATTTTAATAATTTTTTTCTCTCCCTCTGCTTTTTTCAGAAGGAAAGTTTAGACCAGGGGAGGTCCAAATGATTTAGCACTCAATGGGCAGCTTAGACTGGTCAAATAAGAGACTGGTATGATTCCTGAGATGTGCGATGCTCTGTGGATGGCATCCTCTGATTTCCTAGGAATAAAGTTTTTTATTTGGTACCAGTGTTGCTCTTCACCCATTTCTTTTTTATAAGAACAAAATTCTCTTTCAACTTAGAGAGGATACTGCATCTTTTTTTCCTGAGACCTGCCTGTAAATGGCCATTGGGGGGAGGGAGGGAACGGGTAGCTTGGTTTTGTAATTTTGATACGATATATCTCTAAAATAATTAATCAAGAAGCATGTAATTTGGTGCGAAATCAGTAGTCCGTGCAGAGTTAATGTATGTAACAGGGAAACAACCAACCAACCCTCTGCATCTAATACATTTCCAAGGCAATTGGACAGGTGGGCCATTTACAGCAGAGCTCTGGGGGACCTGTGCTGAGAGTTAGGTTCCAATTCTAAATGGAAGTAGCTGTACCATTGAATAAAGTAGTTTAGTGCTTGGGAGAATCAATTGAAAAATACCTCTGAAACTGGAATGCAAAATAGCACAGTATGTAGGGGGAAGAATCCCTGATGCAAACAAAGCCATAAGATGATTTAATAAGAAAATAGAACTTTAGTAGCAATAACTGTTTTGCATGTGATAGTAAATAACTTGCATTAGCAAGACTGTACAGTAGAGTAAGTGGGTAATAACCAAATAAGTTTGTGGCGCTCTGTGCTGCAGGGAGTTGCGTGAAGAGTCTCTTCCTGGGGAAAATGGGTGAATTCCTCTTATGTTCCTCTCATTGGAGGGAATTTGGCACTTGAATACTTAGTTAATGAACCTAATCTTAAAAAAAAAATAATAAATTAGCTTTGTCACATATCTGAAGCACTGTCAATGAGTGCTGGAGGAAGGGCAGACAGTTCTTTTGAAAAGGATAGCTGAAGTTTCGAATATAAAAAAAAATAATAATAAATTAGCTTTGTCACATATCTGAAGCACTGTCAATGAGTGCTGGAGGAAGGGCAGACAATTCTTTTGAAAAGGATAGTTGAAGTTTCTCTATATTTTTTTCTTTTTTATAATCTAGCACTTCCGTTTCTCTGAGAAGAAACTAAACCCTTCCAAATACTGGACTGTGAAGAGAACCTGATTCTGAAGTTAGAAGCTTTTATTGTGGGAAGTACTTTTAGTTTTCTGTGTTTAAAAAGACCAATCTGAATCTTTAAATCAAAAATTAAAAAATGGAGAACACGACACTCAAAACGTTTGTACATTCCAAGCACAACTGTAGAATTCTAAAAATGTAACTTTGCGGCAAAAAATAATTTTAGCCTTGCTAAACACTGTTTCAGACCCTAATTGATTTTTATTGATGCCTCAAGTTTTGCAGAGGCAGGAACGCTGAAGCTTCGGGTAACACAAGGGATTATTGATCTGCAGCTGTAGCCTCTGCACTCAGCAAAGTATTTGCTATCAAAGAGTTACATAAAAAGAGCTGCAGGAGTTCTAAAATGTCCATAGTTGAC